ACGTTAGAGAATATAGAAAGTCATACTATAATCATAATACTGTGGTTAGTAGTTTAATTTTATAATATTCTCAAAATTGTTAATCCAAAAGATCGTGAGAGGTGTAACAAGCACTATATGTTTAATAACGGTAGGCACACCCTAAAGTGAAGACAAAATTCAATCCGAATTTTTCTCACGCAAAATCATTCGCCATAGACAGAAACGGTTACTACCTGTTCCTTGATGCTAGATCCGGACTATAAAATGGATGCAATAGAACCAAGCTCTCGGGCGTTCTGACATTCGATTAGTTCCATTTCCTCTCCTATTTGTCAAATCTGGCCGCTTTTAGGCTTCCTTCAAACGGTCCAATTGTTAACAGTACAGGTTCGAATTGAGAGTTTGACCGTATCGGGGCAGATATAAAATCTAGCAAAACCTTCCTGACTATCGATTCTTGATTTGCCACCGTTTACAACGGCTTACCGACATTCGACACCACCGATTTGACTTTACGTTATCGTAAGTAACCCGCTTTATCACCAATCTTGTCTGAGAAGTTTTTTTGTTCAAAATCTTAGCTTTCTAACGCCTGAATAATACAACGCGAGATACAGATTGCTATAGCCATCTATAATAACGGATTTATTTATACTAGACCTTATATTTTCGAATTTCAAATTTATTTGGCAACTCTTAAAAGAGTCTACCCAGACCAAGGCGCACATAAATATTTATTCTGTTATTTCGTATTCTTTGTTCTTGATTCAGTTCTTTCTTTTGACTGATCGCAAGAAAAACAAAAACAAACCCGAAAGGAAATTATAAATAGAATTAAGAAATATTATTGCGAAAGAAATCTACATACAATATACATAAATAAGCTGAAAGCACACATGACAAACGCAGCATGACAATAGCAACAAATACATTTTTACCGACAAGGAAAAGCACGCGAGAAGGTCACGCTGAAGGCAAATATGAGTGTTTCAACTACCGTAATTTTTATTACAATTTTTAGTCGTTATAAAAAGATAGTTAAATAATATTAATCTTATTTTTAACTTTTTGCATAAATATATGCACATACGTACAATACATAGTGCTATATGTACATATTTTAAATAAGTAGAACTTCTTACAGTTAGGAAAATAACAGAGCTACAAAATCTATTTTCTGACGGTCTGCTATTTGGACCGCTATGTTCTAATATACTTATATGTATGCATGTATATACGAGTGCACAAAACATTAAAAGTGCATATTCGCAAACGAATTAAAACAAAGGCATATACATTATATGTATATGTACGTATACACATATGTACATATGGTATGCATGTTTGTAGAATATAAGCTTACAAAATTTCTACGTGTTTTGATGGTTTGAAGTATCAGCCGCAGAAGATAATTAAATAGGAGTACATACATATAGATATTATATATAAATGCATGTGTGTAATGTACATATGTATATGCAAGTATAAAAAATATGTATACAAAAATGCGAGTTATCCCAAAATATTTGGAAATGCAATCAATAAATTCGAAATAAATTTTAAACTCATCTAAAATGTGTTTATTTTTCTTATGAATATATAAATAAATAGACATATCATCTGATCAAATTTAACCTGGAATGACAAAAAACTACATTTTCATTACGAGTATTTTAATACAAATCTATACTATCGCCATGAAAAAAGGCTTCTGAGGCAGTAAAAACATACCAACACTTTTTTAGGTTCGAGCTACTTTTGAAGCGCCATTCGCTAGATTGTTGGACAATTTCGACGTCATATTTATAAACCCACATCTCATTACCAATAATGATGCGTTTAATGAATGTAGGGTACACAGGTACGTTATCAAGCATCTCTTTTGCGTTCTCTATTCGCCGTCGTTTTTTTCAAAAGTTCGAAGTCTTTTGGTGACACGCTCCATACCCAAAACATTAATCAAAATAGTCGATTCATAAGAGATGTTGAGATTTTCTGTTATCTCTCTGATGCCCAGATAATGATTTTGATGCACTGTTTCTTTAACTTTTTCGATGTTATCGTCATTAACCGAAATGAATGGATGACTCGCATGAGACAAGTTATCGATGACTTCACGATCTTTATCGAATGCTTTGTGCCTCTCAAATACTTGTGCTCGTGATGAAGTAGACTTGTCTAAACTCTTCTACAACATTTTGACAATCCCGTAGCCGTGTTTTCATGGACCATACAAAATCTCAAGCAAACTTTTTTTTCAATTTTTTTCCATGGTAAAAATCGCCAAACAAACAAACATTTGCAAAACATACACTAATTGACATATCGAACTTTACACGAATTCAAAAGGATCAGTCTGAGTTATATTTGATCAGATGGTATATCGAACCATCTATTTCCACATATTTATATTTCCAATTGGATCTGCATATTCGCATCTCCGTTAACACATACAAAACCCGTGACTAATATGTATATCTGGTTAATATTTTTGAAAATATAACAGTATTTTCAGTGTTTCATAAAATCTTTATGTAAAGTGGTAGTAATTATAGACTTTTTGGAACAATTGTTATGTGTTATCGCCTAATTAATACCTTATAAATTATTATCTATTTGGATCATACTTAATTATTTTTTAAACAGCACCAAAAAAATATAAATAAATAAAAAAGAAGACGATTGAGTTAAATTGGAATTACAGCACTAAATCATATTCAGAATTCGTACTTTCTGCAAATATCTCTTGCTCAAAAATGATCTCACTAAAAATAAATTGCTTTCCTAAGCCTAGCAATATATTAAAAAAAAAAAACAGGATTTTATACAATACTTTAATTTTTTTTTTGGCGTTCGCCGCTTACCAACTTGAAATTTTCTTCACTTTGAGAAAGTCGAAAAACAAATTCATATACAGTTCCTAAACCTACCATAGAAACATACATATGTACATAAATATTTATTTTACGTATTGAATATGAAAAAAGAAGCAAATATATGACTGTTTAAATTAAATAATATAGTAGAGATATAATATGATGTTTTATTTGTATATAACCATTATTTAAGACACAAATTAAAGCATATAATCATGTAAATATATATTCAATGAACTCATATGTGAAATATCAATACACGCTTGTAGAGGGCGGTTACGCACGCGATAAGATAGAAAGTTGCTTGTAGAAAAATACAAAAATATAAAAACAAATATGCACTCTATATATAATATTTTCCATATAGATAGTGTATCCACACACCTAATTATATAAAAATGCATATGTAAATACTTATACCTACATATGTATGTATGTGTGATCTTGTATGCATATACGTATTTGATTTATACTTGTATGTAATAGCCGTGTGTACGTATGTATGTAGAGACCTACATATGTATATAACATGCATACCTTTACGAAGATCAACAAATTTTGTCACTTGTAGGACAGCGTAAAAATATATTCGGTTCTACATATGTATGCATGTATGTATGTAAGTTATCTAGGCGTGAGAATGTGCTTTCTTCCACACATATGACTTTCATTTCATCTTAAATATTTGTTGGTTTCCTTAAAATAAATTTTAGCGCAAGATTCTGAAAAACGAAATACACATACATATATTATGTGTATGTACATACATACATGTGCATTATAGTTCGCCGTCCTCATGAAAATGAAATGTTTGCTTTATATAAAGAAAAGAAGCACTAATTCTACAAAGATGAAGGAAATTTTCTAAACTCGATGAAATGAAGAAAATGTGTTAAAATGACACATGTTTGTGCGAATGTTTGTAGTGTACCATATAGATAAATTAGCTTACAATTAAATTGCATATTAAGCACTGTAAGTCACTCTCAAATTGCAGTAAAGTCTTTGTGTGCATAATTTGGTTTTAAGTGAATTGTAAACTTAAGCGAGTCTTATACGTATCTACATGTCTATATACATATGGTATATGCACATATACAAATAAAATTGGTTTAAAATAAGAAAAAACGTTAACTTCCATTACACCGAAGCTATACTATAATACTATTCATAAATAAATAAGTTTTCCATACAAGATATAGTAATAGTGAATACTTTTCATGCAAGAACTTGATTTTGTTCGTTCGATCTGAGTTTGGAGATTGACCGTTATCTTGGTTAATATTAGATGCCTAATTTCGTGAAGATATCTCGTCAAATAAAAAAGATTTCTATAAAAGAACTTAATTTTTATCGATCAGTTTGTATGTACTTACTTACATGCTGTAGTAGTTCAATAGACGGACATGTGGAAATCAACTCAGCTCGTCACACTGAACACTTATATACTTATCTACATACTATGTATGTATGTATGTAAATTTTATAGGGTCTCCGACGTTTCCTTCTAGGTCTTAAAATTTTTTTTTTTATATAATTGTTAAATTATTTATATTCACATGTGCAACAGAGTTGTGTACATACATATGCATATACATAAATACATATGAATAATATTTAAGATCATAAGATAAATACCAAATCACGTGCATACAAATACATACAGACGTTTACATTGACAATTTAGTGTACTAAAAATTTATTGAAAATCATAAATATTACGGATATGACATATACATAAGTACCTATAAATAAAGTAAAGCGACATTAACTTGCTTACACTCTCTAAAATTTATAAGCGTATATAAAACTCTTATACAATAGATAAAAGTTACACATGCGTATACCTATATACATATGTACTTCTTCTTTTCTTAACGGTAGGCACAAATGCCTATCTACAAACAAACATATTTATTTTTATATAATATGCACGCAAATTTACGGTGTGCGCACACGAAGAGCAAAAAGTATGTCACCCACGAAATTACATATAGTACATTAATATAACTAGCCCTTTTTTCAAAAAGTTTAATAATGTACCATATAGGTACATATGTATACATATATATATTTGTTTAATTTATGATAATTTTATAGCCAGTTTTAAATGTACGTTACTGATCAGCTGCGTGAACTCACCACGTTTCTTTTTCTTATCCTTTCGTTTACGCGGCTGCACGTCACCGGACATTTTTCACCGCACCCTTTTCCTTTCTATTAACCGCACTTGTTCTATCAATTCTCACTCACTTTTTTGCACAAATTATTACTATTCTTATTATATTTTTAAATAAAATAAGGCAGTTAAGTTATATTAACTAGTATTAATATATGTTTAACAAATTGTGACTATATATTAGCGTATTATATATGCTTCAGGTGAGTTTTTGTTGTATCGTCGCATAAAGTTATATTTATATATTAGCCGAAACCGCCGCGTTTTTGATCCAACGACACAATACCAACACGGCTAATGATCTACTGGACCGGTAGTGCTCCCTATGCTTTGGAGCAAACGGTGATCGTTAATGGGCACACAATTTTTGTTTAGAAATAAAAGCTCACCACCTCTCACATACAATATGGCTCTCTTTACCAATTCGCCGCATCCGGCGCCAAAGACTGTTTGTGTTTTGTTTTAACGCGAAAATGTCAGAAACAACTGACTTTGGTAGCTTAGAAAGTTACCATATTTGGAAAGGGAATTAAAATTTACCAAATAATAGTACACAATATTTAGACTTCTTTGGTCGCAATAAAAATTTTATTTATTTTTTAAATTCGTAATTTCAATTATATTTATAAACATTTTACCTAAAAACTTTGGCTGGATTCCAATATCATACACAATGCAACACCACCGCATATCAAAATTCGTTAATAAAAATATATATGTTGTCATATGTATATTTTAAGCAATAATGATGGATAATAGTATATTTATCTACATACATGTATAGTTTTCCAACAAATCACATTTGTTCGAAAACTCCGAAAAATAGGAAAAGTAAAATGTATTTTCTGAAACTAAGTGGCAACTAAAACGATCAGCTGTAAAATCACTAAATTGTCAAAAGCTAAAACGGAATAGGTTATAAAACAATTTCAAGTTAATTTAGTGAAAGGAATATTCTTTTAGTTTTATTTAAATTAGCAAAATGTCGATTTTTATAAAAAGTGTGCGTGCTCAAAGGGTTTTAATGGTAAGTTAATATCTAATTTATGATGATGTGGAACTGTAGATATAGCAAAGCATAATATGTGTTGCAAAAATAACTAATTTATTACCTTTCACTTAGCCTTGGTTAACTAACCTTTTATTGCTTATACAAAAAGTTAAACAATTCCAGAAGAAGATCCGGAGCAGTAATTGGCATTTCATATACCAATTGTTCAATTTCAATTATGCTGTTTTTAATTATTTTCTGAATTCCGTTATAAGCATGACATTTCTTTTTACAGCACCGGATGTACGCTTCCTCTAAGTCGTCAGTTCCAGCTAGCAGTACGGAAGTTAAAACAATTCCGAAAAACTTACTCGAGGGTAGTCAAACTTCTCACCTACAACCCGAAAATGGTGCAATTTTCGACAAAAAACCATTTAAACTACACCTGGAAGCAAGTAAGTTAATAAATAAATAACTTGAGGGGAATTAGAGTTGATTCGTGTAAAACAATGCATTCATCTTAGACAAAAAATAAATAAATGCCCTATTCTCTCCTTAATCAAATGTGCTTTATTAATATGTTAACATTTCCTAATTTGATAGATAAAACTTACAGCTGGTGTTTGTGCGGAAAATCGAAGAGCCAACCTATTTGTGACGGTATGCACAAAAATGAATTCTTAAAAATAAAATTAAGGTTAGTGCACATATGTACATACGTCTCAAGCTGTAGATAATTAAAAAGAACATTATAAATATATTTCACAGGCCTGTAAGATTTCAAGTTGAAAAAACGGGCGATTACTGGCTGTGCAATTGTAAGCAAACGAAGCATCGTCCCTTCTGCGATGGCACACACAAGCAACCTGACATTCAAGCTGCTGTACGTTAAACTGGCGGAAAATAGCACAAACAGTGTAATCAAGTTGTTTAAGGAATATTTACCTTTGTTAAAGTGTATGCATTTCAAAAAAATTATTGTTTAAATAACAGCAAATGTTCCAAGTCAATAAAAATATTATTAAAATTCGTTTTTAATACAAGCAACAGTTTGATATATATATTTCTCTTTTATATGTTGTATATGCCGTTATACATATATATTTTTATGAATATGCTGTAGTCCAATATTTTTACATATATTACGAAGTATGCACTATACATATTATTTGATTGTATTTTACCAACGCTTAAATACTGAATAATATTGTGTCGATGAAAAACTCTGATATGCGAACTTTAATCTGTCTATTTAATTAAAGTATGTGTATTTTAACAAATGTTTAACGTAATATTTACAAAATTTATTTTGTGATATTCACCACAGCTAATAACAGGAATACGAAAAATTTTAACATACATTCAAACAATTCTGATGATTATTTTGGATATGTAGTTCATGTAGATACTTTAAAATGTTTACATGTATACATTCACATACATATCGGCGTTATAAAGCGTTTTACAATAAGTAAATGTGTGTAAATATTTATATAAAATAGATTGGAGTTCGTTTCATTAGTAAATGTCGTCAGCAGATGTGGAAACAACGTTTTATTTGGATATAGTGATATGTTAACCCAACCTTATGTTGGCGTTTTAACGTCATTGAAGGATACATGTATTTCCCTAAACAATTTCAAATCCGAAGAACTTAGTTGTATCAATCATTTTTACAACTTTCGTAGGCTAATATAATTACAACTGGGCCATTAAACTATATGAGCAAAAACTATATATATGTATATGAATTTAACAGCTTAATACACGATATCAATGCCAACTCTACCCATCACAGCATTGTAAACCCATAATAAATATTTATATCAAGCACTTCATAGTTCTCTAAGTTACATTTGCTAAATTATGTAGAGCTAACTTCACACTAATTCATTTTACCAGCAATTTATTAACTATTTATTTCATTTTAGTCGGCATAATCGTTGAATTTCTCTTTGAACCGATTATCAACAAACGAAAATTTGTTTGCACAAAATTCTAACACAATGTGGTGGTCCATTTGCATATTGTAGTGGCTATTGTTATTTTTTAGCGTCGTTTGCTTTTTGAAAAGCTCAAACCTGAAGCAAATAAAAAGACAAGAACAAACACAAAAATACATTTTAATAAATCATTTTATAAATGGGCGTAACGGCAATGTGCTTTCAAACACCCAGCAACTAATTAATGCCATTGCCATAAAATGCTTTGAAAATAGGAAAATTCGAATTAATTACATACATATTTAAGAATACAATCTAATTACCCTAAAATGCTTAGTAATACCGAAAAACTAATTATACCCTCAACAGGGTGTATTAAGTTTGCCAAGAAGTTTGTAACACCCAGAAGGGAACAAAAAGTATACATAATTGATCAGCATGACGAGCCGAGTCGATTTAGCCATGTTCATTAGTTCTATTCACTCAGTTTATGAGATATCGATTTTATTTTCCACACGTTCTTTTCACCCCAAGAAGCTGCTCACTTGTCGAAACCGCCTACATATATCGGACCACTATAGCATATAACTGTCATACAAATTGATCGATCAAAATCCAGTCCTTGTATGGAAAACTTTTTATTTGACGAGATATATTCACGAAATTTGGCATAAATTAATGTCCAAGGCAACGGTACGTTCTTCAAAGAAATTGATCGATTCAACACAGCATATAGCTACCAATCAAACCGCCCGAATTTATTTACGAATAAATTATAGCTTCGGTGCAACCGAAGTTAACGTTTATTTTCTTGTTTTAAATTGGTTATATACATAATAGTTTTAATATTATCTTACAAATGGGAGGTTAAAGTTAAAGTTGTTTGTCGGTACCCGAATCAGGCGGGTGATACGTTACTCGATCTCTTCGGCTATAGATAATGAGATCAGAAAACTTTCAATTGCGGATTTGAAGATTTGACCAAGCTTATCACTAAACTAACTATGATACATTCACTATGTCCATATTATAAAATTTCTGTAAATCAAAGTAGTTCTACAAAGAACAAACTTTGGCTTTACCCAAAGTACAATTTCTCGTATTGCAATAGAAGTCTAAGAAATAACTAAATTAAGCAATTAGCCTCGAAAATAAAAATAAAATAAATGCAAATGGATATTTTAGATTCTCTAATTCTGATGAGTTTTGGAATTAACGCAATTTATTTTTACTAACTAAAATCATAAAAAGCATAAGCAACTTGAATACGGTTGGTTTTTATTTCAAAAATAAAATAACGGCACAAATTATAAATAACTATGTATGTAATGTTTATGCGAGATAGCAAACATGATAGTGTAGTAAACATGCACTAGTGATTTTAACGATTTAAAAGAATAGACGAAAAAGAAAGAGAATTCTGAAAACTAACTTTGCAAAAATGCAATTGTGTGTACGAAATTTATGTTGCGAAATTATGTTTCTTTAGTTTTCGTTTGTTCTACGAACTAACTTAAGCGCACAAACCAACAGAAAACAAATACAATTTTTGTATAATCAATTTGAAATTATTAAGCTTGGTCGAAAAGTAAATTACGACAAGTAAAAGACAGTTTATTCTATAATCAGCAATGAAAATTAATACGAATACATAAAATAATTAAATATTGAAGCAAAAATTAGTATGTCTTTTAAATTTAGTCACCAATTGCTCGCAAGAAAATGTTTGGCTACAGTGGAAAATACTATAGGATCAAATCTACATCTACTATAAAGTATATAAACATGAGTATTAATACAACAGTTGTGAACTTCAATTCCTCACGCTTTCACTGTGCGGCTGCAATAAAGAACACTGAAACTAACTTAACCTTTTTTTATTTGTCGTTAAATTTCAAGTCGACCCTAGCAAAATGGGCGGAGTATTTTACTTAAGGTTTTACATTCGACTTCAAAATTTAAAGCGGCATTCCCACAACTCACAAAGTCGGTGAGTGTCATAACTTCAAAACTTTTCAAAAAATTTCTAACACTATTTCCCTACATCATTTCTGAGGTAAAGCTGGAATTTTTTAATATTTTTCATTTTACTATAACAAACTAACCGATTTCTTCGCAAAAACACGCGTTTTTTCCTGCAGTTTTCCAAAAAAAAGTGAAAAATTTAAATTTCGTAAAACCCACTCCCCAGCTTTACCTGGGCAAAAAGATTATCTCGCGACATAATTTTGATTTCAGAAGATCCAGCACCGAGTTATGAGGGACACCGCAATTCAACTTTTCTCCGAGACGCTCCAGAGTAATTGCTGCCGCCACTGCCGTATTTCTTTTATATTTGGTCATCAAAATTCAACAGAATATTCTGTAAGTGTCATGATATAAAGTACCATTGGTTATTAGAAGATAGATTTTAACTGTTTCATCAAAACAAAATTATAAAGATGGGCCTTGTTTTACACGTATTAACCCTACTCCTCCTTTAAGAAAAAGTAAGAAATATAAATTGTATCAACCATATTATGTCTCATACGAGTTCCAGCTGCATCCAAACTATAAAAAATCAGTCTGTCGTACGTTGTCACCTAAACTGTTACCTACAAGCATACACTCACATAATTTTAATGTTCTTTTTTTTATTATTATGAACGTTTTATGTTCAAATATTAATATCGTTTATTTTCGTTAGATTTTGTTCGTATTTATATTATAGATTATCGTAATTTAAGCAGTTTGTTCATGTATTTATTTATTAAAAGATACTTCGCCTTATCTGTTTGCTTCTTCTTCAGTTTCGTGTGTTATAGCAGTAGTAGCCGTAATTCCATTCTAAATTGTCATTGAGTACAGCAATATTTTCAACATTTATCAATCATGTTTAACATAGTTTATTATGCTTAAATTCTTGTATTTTTTAAATCTTGTTTTTTTTTTTTGTGTAATATAAACATTTTTTTCTCAGTTTCTGTTTATTTGCAGTTCTGTAATCAATCCTCCTTGCGAGTTGTTGCTTTTAATACTCCTCATCCTCGGGCGGAATTTCATCCGGAGGCGCAAAACCATCCTGTCAAGGTGTAGTAGTGTTCGGTTGTGTAGTGTTTTCGAATTTACAGGGCATTATGTAAATATGATGTTCAAGTAAATAATGCAGTGACCAATAGATGTATGGTTGAATAAACAGAAGAGAATGTCAATGTACGCACACACACACAAATTTATACACATTGATGATGCAGCGTCGTGGAGCGGTGCAAACACACACAAATATATATATGCACGTTGTGATATGGCGGATATTTTTTGTTTTTGTTTTTCAATTATTGGAGGTTGTAGAATAATGCGGGTGTCAGGTGTGCATGATGATATTTGATATTTTCAATTCAAATGCACCGTTTTAATGGCCAATTAACAGCGAACAGTGATGTGATTGTTGTTGTTTTGAGTGTATTGATGATAATAAAAAAAGAAAAAAGGAAAAAAGAGCGTTATAAATTTAAATTAAGTAAATGTGAAAGTCATTGGCGGTTAAGACGACTTGCCAAAATTGTTAGTATTAGAAAATATTTAACAATAAATAAATGCCAATTCACCGCGAAAACTATAATAGTGTAAACAAATACAATAACAACAAATAATTTCGCTGATAATTTTTCTTTTCAAATGCGTTAACGCTAAAATAGGCATTTGCATTATATATTATTAGAAATTGTGAATTCGAGAAACACAATTAAAGCTCTTATTTAAAAAATAACCGGATAGAAGTTAAATGGAAATATAAAAAATTAGCTATTTTTGCTAAAACTTTAATTAAACTTGACTTAGTTACTAGTTATTATTTAACTTTTTTTTACTTTTAAAATTGGCATTTGTAGTTTGTACAAAACATAAAAATTTTGCTGTGGGAATTTTTTTCGGGGTGAAAAAAGAAATATACAAATGAAATTACACATACAGAAGTGTTGCGCTTTACCTCGGTCGCATACATAATATCCAAAATCTTTTGTATTAAAGGATGCGGGTCACCTTCTGCTGCTTCTTGGCAGCTGTTGAAGAAATGCATGGAAAAGAATATTTTAAAATATAAAAAATGTATTTGTAAATATTTGCATGTTGAGACAAAAGATAAGCGTTAGTTGTTGATAATTGTACATTAGTCAGATTTTTTTGCATTTTTACAAAAATAAATTAAATATGAAATTCATAAATAGTTTTGTGTGAGTGTATAGTCTTGATTGACTATATTATATATATAATATAATAAAATTAAACCAATTTAAAAAAATTTGTTGAGGAGCAAAAATTTAATTAAAAAGGCATTTATCTTAAGCAGGATTCTGCAAATACTGCATTAGAAAATAATTGGACTAACATTTCAAATACTTTAAAAATACTTTCTAAATTTTTAATTCTAAACACCAGATTGAAAAATAAAATTTTAATCTCATTCGTGAATAAAAAAAATATTATTTTGGTTTTTAATCCTAATCACCAAATTAAAAACTAACAAAAAAAAAATAATAATGCTAAGCTTACAATTAAAAATTTTAGAAAGAAATGTAGTAGGTGTCATGAATTCAGATATTATTGGTTTGACGTTTGAAACAGAAATTGTGGCGGTTTTGGGTTTCACGGAAACCAATTTTATCAGTTTTGTTATCAGAAACAAAGCAAGAGGATTTTCGCTCACAGATTTGAAATGTAAGTTAAGAAAATAATTTATATTATTGTTACGATTTCATTTATCGTTATTTCTATAGGGGAAAACATAAGAATAAAACAAAATTGTCAAATTATCGAGTTTATGGAAAAAATCAAGATATTTTAAGAGAATTTACAAAACGTAATAAACGTAATTTAACACCCAAATGCGTCTTTATTCCGTCGATAATGTGATATAAATCGGTGAAGTAAGCATGTATACAAACTTACAAGTAAATGCAAGCTAAATTTCACATGCGACTCCCCTGGTGCATCAAGTGGATTACAGTGATCTTTTAATATATTCCTTTCGTTTTTTTCGTTGCTTTTTTTCTTCAAATAAAAGAAAAACTAAAATAGCGGAACTCATTGTAAACTTTAGTAGACTTCATTCAGCAATTCAAATTTATAAAACGCTTCCTAATTTATTCATTTGCAAATTTTGTCACATAAGGCACATCACGCAAACCCAATCAGATTCTGTGACACCATTCAAAATCAGAATTGGTTTGCAATTCTGACAACTACGCAAATCTGTCTTGGATTCCACAACACCCCTGATTGTCTTAGAATTGACAATTTTTCTCTTTTGCGTATTTCGCATTTTACCATTTTCAACATAGTTTAGCTCTGTTTGTCTTATTTAAATTTTATTTCTTTTAATTATAGTGTTTTAGTTAGAAATATGTAAATCTTTCCTTTCGTATGCCTTTTCATTTTAAATCCAAGATGTTTGGAATTAAAAATTCAATTTTCAACATTCAATTTATATGAATAAATTGAAAATCAAATCAAAATCAGAATAAAATATTTAAAATTTAATTTCATTCAATCAAATCATTTCATTCAAAATTTTTACACAAGCTTTCATATTTAGTTACCTAAATATGGTGCTTAAACCTTTCTTCTTGTGTAAAATTATAGTTTTTTTAAATGCACTTTGAGTGTGAAAAATACGAAACGCTTATCTCATTACCTCATTGCTACATTACAATTTCAGTTCACTTACAGTATTTCTATGTCACGCAATTTTGAGAAATAGAAATCCCGCTCTTTCTCCAAACCCTCCAAGTTCAAACGCATATCCATGACCTGAGAAAAATTAAAAAAAAAATTTTATTTTAAAATTTCCTAGAAAACGTATGTGTGTGATAAAAAAAATCTTGCCTGATTGGACAACTCCTCGATCTGTTGGTTCGACACCGTATTGGATGAGTCGCCGGACTTTTTAACTGCACCGGTGGTATTATTTACGGCAGCTGACTTAGTTACGACTGGTGCTGCGGCGCGCGGTGGTACTTTGGAAACTGCGCATGCGCGTTGTTCGAAATAGCGTAAAATAAAATAATAGCAATATCAGCACACATATACACAATATACACGATAAACTAAGTTAAGATTCATAATTTACAAGGGTATATTCAACAAACGTGAAGCACGTACACATCTATTTTTAGAGAAATATTCGAAAATTGTATTTTTAACAATATGGATGGACAATTTTGTTTGTGATGTTTTTTTTTTGGAAAAGTTGTGCTTTCAATTTTGTTAAATGAAACATAACTAAATCTACGAAGCAATGAATAATGGATTTTTTGACGAACGGTTGATTAACTAATTAAAAACCAAATAACAAAATTAGTGGTGAGAGTAGAAAAATTAGTAAAAAGGCGTTTTGACAAACAAAACAATTAAGAAATATAAAGTTTTATACACTGAGATAAATACTTAAAAAAAAAGCATCCAATTGAGAATTTTTTATACAATAATAATACAAAGATAATAAATTAAATACAAACTTTGTGCAAATATAAAAATACATGAGACTACATAGAGATTGAAGCGAATTTCTTTGGATATAACTAAGCGTTTTTAAAAGACATAATTTTGTATACAATTTAAAAATGCAACAGCACATACTGGGCCGTGTCGTCGATGTTGTTGATGAACGCGCCGGCGGTGCTATGGCCACTGGCTTACGTGAGGATAACGAACCGCCACCGGTGCCAGGCAAAGCCTTCACCACACCCGAACCAAAACCCATTGGAGCACCATCTCTAGCAGCGCTGGCATCGTAATCTCGGCCATCATAATTGGCATCGAAGAATTTTTTAAACCATTGTAAAAATTCGAAATTATCTTGAAAACGGCCCTTGATCAGTTTATCAATTGGTATTATCTAAAAAAAATGGAATATACAAAAAAAAAACACAAATAACCAAATAGAAGAGCAAAAGAAAAGACAAAACAAAGCCATAAAATAAAAATATGAAAATTTAAAAAGAAAATGTGAAAGAAAATATTTAAGAAATAGTAAAAAAAAACCAAAACAAAATTAAATTATATATCGTAAATATTTATAAGTTTATTATTTATTGCAATAGTGGTAATCAAATTTTATTTATACAATAAAGTAAATAAGCACAAGGAGTTAGGTCGCGTAATTGGAGCAGCAACTGCTACTGACAGCTGTCATTACAGTTCATGGCGCAGCAATATTAACTACATGTTTGACTTTTGCTGGCAATAAAAATTTTTGAGTTTAAAAAATTCTTTGCTGACGCCAAAACAAGAACGTTAACTTCATTTTGCACCGAAGCTGTAATAACCTTCACAAAAAACAAAAAAATTTCCATACAAGACCCTAATTTTGATCGTTTAGTTTGTATGGCAGCTATAAGCTATGGTGCTTCGATCTGTACCATTGGTTTGGTTTGAAGATTGTACTGTTGTCTTGGGCAATAATTCATGCTATATTTCGTGAAGATAACTTGTACAAGAACTTGGCAGGCATATACTATTGTGATGCCATATGGACGATTCCGACAAATGAGCAGCTTTTTCATATCTCAAAAATTGTGTGCCAAATTAGCGTGTATACAAACAAACAGACGGACATGGCTAAATCCCCTCTAGGATCTTTTGCTACAAACTTCGTGGCAAACTTAATATACCCTGTATAAAGAGTAATATGCTGTTGGAATTAAGTTTATTTTTTATCATTTGAAATGGATAATATAGTATTATTCTATGTTGGCCTATAGTATTAAATAAGTAAATAGAGAAAACAGAGACCGTGCCGCAATACTGCAAAGTAAATATTTACAAATTATTTTTACGAAATTTCACGCCACCTACTATTGTAAGCAAATCGGAAAAAGGTAGGCGTTTCAAACGCATCCAACGGCAAGTTATATGACAGTTAGACTGGAACGTAACGCAAAAAAAAACCGCCAAACAAATAAAACAATGCTAAAAAGTGCATTAATTTTTAGATTTAATACCTCAGTGATAAAAAAAATTTAATAAAAATTACATTAAGTTTCCGGTTAAAGTATTGCGGCTAATTAAACTCAACTCGATTACTATTATTGTTTTTATTCCACATATAATAGCTCATTTTCTTTCATTCAAACACATTTCTGCCCATTATGGTATGAGCAGCTGCTACTTTTTACGCTCATAACTCCACGTGCATATATTTTGTGTATAATTAAGATAAAATTGAAAGTAAAAAGTAAAATTAAAGGTATGTAGAACTATAAAAATTTCAAAAAAAGTGAAACGTAAAAAAAAAAATTTTAAAAAAATAACTGAAATAACCCACTTTTGGGGAAAAATTCACAAATACAAGTTTAAATTCTCAACAGTAGACATACGAACACACCATACTAGACGTAAAAATACACTAAGTAGACATGTATGTTATTATTTATGTGCTTGAATATACAAATGCGCCAGTTAAACTAGTGCCGAAATTTGAAGTATGTAGTTGGGGGCCACCAGGTAAACCTCCCGGTGTGAGGATGAGCGCATAGACACTACATGTATATTTAAGGTGAGTAGTGCACACAGTGTTTTTACATGTGTATTATGGGTATGTATGTATGTGGTGATAGTTACAATAGCAACAAAATTCACTTGAACATAAGTAAAAATAAACAAAACCTATGTCACGGCGCTTTTTTCTTATAATAAAATATATAGTGACATATGTAAATCAAAAACAAGCGAAAAAAGAATGTGACAATTAAATACGTAATACATATATATAAAACAAGCCCCCTGGGTGTTAGCTGAATAAATGCGAGAGGTCGACTTGAGTTACACTAGGTCGCGTTAAGCTTTGTCTCATAGCAATGCAATTTCAACACACGCGTATTTTTCGCAAAGTTCAAGGCGACCTCTGCCATCCACTAATGTGCAAACGTATGTATGTACGTGCATGAGTATACAGTGCAATGCTGTGCGCTTTTTTTTGCTATAAGATGACTTTGTTATATGAGAAAGTGTTGTCGATTTAGTTTAAATAGATGAACGCGCTGAATTTGATTGTAACATTATCTTACGAAAATTCGAAATTTTAAATTTAAAATCTTCAATTCGTTTTAGCAACATTTTATATTTTCAATCCACAAAAAATATTCGTGCTTCACGTTTAATCATTCTAGAAAATTATTTTTTGTTGCAATTCTCTTTGAAGTGTAAAGAATTTGGAGGCGAGTAGTGGTGTTCAAAACACTTTTCCTGAGACTCGCCTCTTCTTCTCTCACTTTATTTCTATCTAATATAATATTTCCATTTTTGCTTGCCCACCTCCACCGCGGTCCGGCCTAACTGCCGTACGTTGTGTTACAGCCGGTAGCGCGTGCGTTCGATTTGGCATCTGTATGTGTCGTTTCTCAAGTAAATCGTTGCTACTGCCTCGACCACTACTGCCGCCGCCGCCGCCGCCGCCACCACCAATGCCATTGCCCAGCTTGACGCCGCTACGAGCTATAAGCGGTTCATATTCGCGCCCATCATAATTTGCATCGAAGAATTTTTTAAACCATTGCAAAAATTCAAAATTATCTTGGAAACGACCTTTTATCAACTTATCGACTGGTATTATCTACAAATTATTGAAGTATTGACACAATTTAATTATTTGTATGTGAAATTTTTTAGAATATTATGCATGAAAATATCGTTCAAGAAATGTATTCAGTATTAAACTGGTTCAAGAATAAATAATTGATATTTAATGTGTCATTTCCCCATTAAATTCGATGATCAATTTATTTATGTCCACTTACGACAAATTTTCGTTTTTGGGTTGCACACATCTAACCTAAAGTGGGTTAGGACCGATTTCCGAAATATCAGTTGTCAAATTAACGATGCAATGTATTTGTAACGAATATATAACGCGAATACACTATAATGTGAGCCACCCTGATGCATATTTCTATTTATAAAACAGTTAAGCTTGTTCACGTTTAACAAGATTATAAATGTGCGAGGAACGCCCATTGCATATTTCATATGTGGAGTGTTGGATAATAAATGAAGGTTTCTTAGTTACAAAATTAAAAGCAAAAGAGAACAGAAAAAAACATTAACTTCGGCTGCACAGAAGCTATAATACCCTTCACAGGCTTAAGTTATCCTTAAAAGAACTTGATTTTGATTGGATAATATGTTCGGAGATTGCACCGTTGTCTTGAACAATAATTAATGTCAAATTTCGTGAAGATATCTTATCAAATAAAAAAGTTTTTCATTCAAGGACTTGATTTAGATCGTTCACCATTCGGAATCAACAGAAAAGGCAGCTATACTCGTATGCTATAGTGGTCCGATATGAACAGTTTCTTTAGTAGAAAAGGACAAGCGAGTTATCGATATCTCAAAAACTGACTAACTTCGTATAGTTCGCATATATACACACGGACAAGCAAGCGGACGAACATGGCTAAATCGACTCAGCTGATCATTTATATACATATACATATGTTTATATTTTATAGGGTCTTCGACGTCTCCTTGTGGGTGTTTTATAAACTTCGTGGCAAACTTTATATTCCCTATCCATCGTATAATGAATAAAAATATAATATAATATATTTAATTTGCGCTTATCTTATTAAGTTGTCCTGCAATTTTCTTATTTTTATTCTGTTTCTGTTTATTGTTGAATTCTTTATTCATTTGGAGTTTTATCTACTCTAAATGGAATTCTGCATAATTCTGCTTCATATAATTTATGCATTTTTACTGTATAAATAAAATCATTCCTATAACATACTTTCTGTTCCAATACTCATTCACTTATCATATTCGCATGTAAAATATAAATTTAAAAAAATGTTTTCAACACACTGTTACTGCTACATTGTTAAACGCACAAAGAATAAATTCTCATAAAAATAAATAATAATAATAAGAGATTAAAATATCAATATTACATTAAATAATACTAATAATATATTGACAGACGTATATAAATAAATGCCATACCAGTAAAAATAATAATTGGAAGCATTAGTACCTTATCAACTGCCATCTTTTTAAAAGATGCTTGCAAGATTTTGAAATTCTGAATATATTCGTGTTCCAAATTTGTACGAAACTTGACTCTTTTCATTGGCACCGAGCCGGGGAACAACATATCCATGAACTGGCAATAAGCAGCGCCTAAATTAGAAGCAAATCAAATAGTTACGATTTATTATTTTATACTAAACAACAACAACACCAACTAACTTACCAGTGCATAGCTCTTCAATTTTACCAAATTGCGCTTGCAGGCAATCATTTACCCAAGCGAGCATATCATGTCTGGATAAATTTTCGGTAGTCACATTTGTGGAGTACACGTTGACTGCCATTTTTGTATTGGTACAATTATTACTTTCCTTATTTATTTATTTCTGCTTTACTGCACACACAATAGCCGGCTGCTACTAATTGTCTTGTCCGCTCTTCTCTGTCCTTATGACTGACTGTTGTATAGACCAACTGGCTGATATGGTGTTCTTTCACTTAATCTTCTTTCCGGTGACGTCTTGCTCTCACTCCCTACCAAACACTGCAGTAAATCGTATGAAACAAAAATAAAACTTAAGTATTGTAACAAGTATGAATGTATTTAGATGTGATATATATACACATATAAATACATATATTGTGGAAGATTGTAGAAAATGAAGCCAGGCCCAAAACCGCAACCGAAGGCAAGATTTTGGTTTAAGTTGCAGTTGACTTTTTTGGATGAAGCGAAGCAGAGCGAGAATAGTTGAACTAATTTATATTATCGCCATGTAAAAGATCTGCAACAGCGATATTTGTAAACGATTTGTAATTCATATGATTTTATATTTCATTTAACAATTTGTTTTTGGATTAAGGGTGGAGACGGTGATGGCGCCACCATACACATACATATGTATGTACATATATATTTATATAAATATTTTTGTATTGCTAACGCTACTAATTGCTCCTACATTAAACTTAATTGTTAAGATAATAAGTGAAGCATAACTTGCGCGTGCGTACTATGAACTCATGTTATTTTGGCGCAGAGTAGAAACAAGCAACAGATGTTCATCGAAACTGAAACTTATTGTTAAAAAATCAATTTAACTGAATTTGAATGCAGACTTACTCAAGATATACACGCATATTAAATTTACTTATATATATTTATACTTTTTATAGAAATCTTTAAATTTTTTAACATGCAAATACAATCACTTTTAATTATTTATTATTACTTATATTTATTGCGATGTTATAGCATGAAAAATCAATAGAAAAGAATTCGACACTATATGAGGGTGAATCAGTCACGAAATTGTTAAATATTGCTTTCTGACTCACAAACTTCTGTTCTTGAACGACAATAAAATCTTTGCTGCATCGACATGCTACGCGGACTTAGTTGCACTCGTCTATTTTAAACGCACCGAAGACGCAAAAAAAGTAGACAAATGGTAAAATATTTAATTTTTAGATTTAGAAATGCAGAGGTTCGTACAACTGCTGTACATGAATGTACCAAGGGAGTATGTCTGTGTAGCAGCAACAGTTGCTGTACGATGAACGATTGGGCGAGCTGCTGCATACAGCATACGTAACACAGCACAACAACAAATGTCGCTTGCAAACCAAATTCTCCCAAAGTTGTCTACTACAGTCGAATGCAGCAATGGCCAACGTGCAACGTTCGGCGTTTTTTCTCAAAAAAATCTAACAACATAAATAGATACAAAAACAAAATGAGCACATCACCAACAGCCGAAGTATGCGTCAGCACTTTCACGAACAATATCAAGCGAACAATGAACTTTACCGTCCGTCAGCCAACTCGAGGCTAGGCCGAGCGACCGGCAAACCTACGCAAAACAAAGCGACTGCATGCTGACATTTTGGAATGAGGAAGAACCTGAATGGGTAAATAGGAAGTGGACGGTGGTACGTATTTAAAGTTAACAAAATGAAAAAAAAAAACAAAACATACATAAAAATAAAGTAATTACATTATTTGGTGCTCTACTCTTGACAAACATTGGGTAATAAAGACACAATTGACATGAATTCCGAAGCTTTAAAATTGCATTCTTTAAATGATAGCGGTTTATGATAAGCAGGTGTCATTACCATTGAAGTATAGGGTTTAGAGTAAATTTGAAGTAAAGGCAACCTTTTTTTTTTATTAATTTTGTATATTATTTTTATTAATATTCATATTTTTGCGTAGCTACTAGAAATGCTAGCAAATCGAAGTAGAAATACGAGTGTACATTGTGGGAGCTACATGAAGACAATATACCATACATACATATATTAATAAAATCAATAGAATATTTATGAAAACACAACAAAGCGAAATAACTGCTTAAGTGCGTTTGTTGAATATAATATAAATACAAGAAAATATGTTACCTTCGACTGCACCAAAGCTAAAATACGCTTCACAGGTGCATTTTTTTTTTGGCATAAGGGTTACTGGATATCACGGTTCTGACAAATGAGCAGCTTCTTGGGGAGAAAAGTAAATGTGCAAAATCCCAGACTGATATCTCAACAACTGAGGGACAAGTTCGCAAATATGCAGAGAAACAGATGGAAAAACATGGTTAAATCAACTCAGCTCATCATGCTGATTTTTTATATATAAAGTTTATAGTCTCAGACGTTTCCATCTGACTGTTACAAACTTCGAGGCAAACTTAATATACCCTGTTCAGGGTATAAAAATAAACCAACTATTTCTATATTCGTTGTTTGCATGTAAAAGAATTCGACAGGCGCATTGTTAAGCAAACCATATGTTGGTCAGCGAAAACTTCTGGAAAAGTACGCATAGAATAAGCTTCACCAATGCTGCAATATTGTAAAACAGGTTAGCGGAGAAAGCATATAAAAGCAAATTGTATGCCAATGTCAAATAATTAATCAATACTTTGATCGTTAACTGTACTGCTCAAAACAATTTCTGAAAAAATTCAATGGCACGAAATTTTTTTTCTTCGGTCACCAAATAAGCTCTATCATTGTGACATATTTATAAAATGGATAAGGATTTTTCCTTCACTTTCTGAAAGTCGTAAAATGTTTTTGCTTCTGCATTGAAAAGCGGGTGATACTAACAGTCCGGGTTCGTGTTCCTTACTTATTATTTTATAGCGTTTATCTGCTAACAAATCATATCAAAATTACCATTCTATTCTGCTGCTTTTGTTTAAATAGTATTAACTTACTCACTTTAAATACGAGTGTAACGAACTCAACTCGATTACTAGGTCATCTGTTGGCATTACCGGTGGTCAAGAGTCTATTGCCCATCACCTTCCTTCTGTCATGTACACACAAATACACATATGGATTTGCTTACATTATGGTAGCAGAGGAATTGTGTAGATTAATTTGCCGTCAAACTGAAGGTAAGTGGACATGGTGGCTATTGGCTTGACAGACAAATAAGTGAAATATTATCACTTTTGCTTATATCGACGGTCAATAACTCCCGGAAAATGGTAATTAAAATATTGCTTAAGAGCACAAAAAAACTATTTTTATTCGTTTATAAATTCTATACAAAAGTGTAAAATGCCTGTGGATTTAACGTACGTTCCATATAAAAAATTTTAAACGAGCTTCCATATGGCAGCATCAAATACTACGTCCTCACACAAACCAACAGAATGCAAATGTTTTAAATGTGTAACTGGTTTTGCAAATGCGTGGGTAACTGTTAAACATAAAAATATGTCAAATATTACTCTTAAAATTTCAAAGGTACACACATAACTACGAATAGTATAAGGTAGATGGCGATACAATTTTAAACTGTTGTTTTAACACCGAACTCTTAAAGGACTAATTTTGTTAATCATTATACGAACTATGTATAGCCGACATTATGAATATATTAAAACTTTTGCGGCCGGCTAACCGTTACCCATAGTCATACAGAGAGAGGCTTGCGACCAAGTCACCATTGGCATTGACCACTAACCTTAAGATATGTATCTAACCCTTTGCGCACATAATGCGAAAAATCACATTTCAATAATGCGAAAAATTAACTATTAAAGCTTTCTTTGAACCTACATGGATGGCAGAAATCTGAGGCTACATTAAAAACTTAAGTAGGCGGCTGCATTTATACTCAAGACCGGCTATCAGCATGCCGAACAACTTTGATGTACATATCTACATAGTTACAAACTAGATATTCATAAAATGTGCGAATGGAATTTAGTCCATTAACTGATGACGTAATACACAAATATTGAAAATAATGCAAATTTATACATATTCCAAACGCTTAAGAGTATAAAATAACTTAATAGTAATTTTGCTGACCCAATAATTATTTGATTAGCATTCCCAATAATTTAAAATTACTCATTGCATTACCTATTTGGCATACTCAGCAATTCTTTTGCCATGGGAGTGGTTACTTGCACAAGCAGGTGTTGATAGCAGTCACGCAAGTACTATCAACTTCTGATTTGAAGTGCATGGCCAATTTTAATATTAAACTTATTTCATGGATTTAACTCATTTAAAATAAGAATTATGACTGCAAAATAAAAAATACCAATATTCCATGGAAAATCCAACACAATCATGTATGCGTTTATAAAATAACTTTGTGACGTTTGTGGTCTGATTGTCTGCATAAGAGAAATTTTCAAAGAATGCTAGAATTTACGTCCCCTATCTCGTACTTGGTACTATTGTAACACTTTTATATATAAAAATTGTATGTTAAAACCACAACTCAATCCATCAACAAATACACTATTCTACATTAAATTATTTTCATTTGTTTCAAATTCAGTATTCTTGAAAGTTATATTGTATCTTTACTGCAATCGTCATCATCATTATCGTTGGTAGTCAATTACTTTTTCTTCATGCAACGCATTAATCATCATCATCTTTATCTTTTATTTTCTTTTGTTACTTTTTACCGATTCCTTTCATTTAAAAATTTGCACTTCGAAAAATTGCCATACATTTGCGCTCCCTTTTACACACGCGTTTGACACTCCTTCAGCCAACAAAACACATTATATTTTCGCATTCGCTCATCCACCGAAATACATTCGTTCATCCAAAACGCATCCATCGCTTTGACGAGCGAAACATTTGCAAACACATAGACTCACCTTCTTCAACAAGCGGAATTTTAGCAGTTTTTCGTTTTCTCTATCTTCCTTGCGTTTTCCAACTTCACGCAACAAACTGCCCCACCACTCCTGCTTAATTCTTGCTTTTTCCCTTCAGAATTCTTAACTTTTACACACAACCTGAAATTCCTTTTCTCTCTTATTCTTTCTTTTTCAACACAATCTTCCACAATAATTTCAATGACTATTTCTATTTTCGACATAAATTTGATTTATAACGCAACGTTTGAAAAATTTTCAATAGTTCAAGTTTGGCGTTCTACCTTTTACACTTGCCGATTTTTAATTCTGCAGCGGCTTCTCTTACGCAGGAAATATCAATTGATTTAATATATAAGTATGTGAGCGGTTTATACTCTTAAAACGCTAAAACACCAAAACGCGAGTCAAATAACGTGTGCTATCAACACAGAAAATGCGAACAAACTATTTAAAATCGTTCAATCTCAAATAACGAGCAGATATTTTCGAATTGGGCAAAAACAACGAATAGGTGTGGTGAATATTTAATTGTAACGACTAGAAAATATACCAGACAAACGAAAAAGTTTGTGCCGCTACAAACACTATGTTGCCACCTTACTGTCAAAATTAATATCATTATTTCAAAATTTAATGTTTGATCAATTTATTTGTTTTTCCTCTCTTCTGTCCATTGCACAAACCTACAATGCTTCTGTCTAAAGAGAAAATTACATAAGTTTTTGACTTTAAACATAAATAATAGATAGATGTGGGAGGATGCACACTACGACTTTTGGTCTATTGTGCCCTGACTCTTTTCATGTTGTTTCATCTAGCTCCAAAGCTGTAATAAAATCTAGAATGATTGAAGCTACCCCTCAATGGTTTTCAAATGATTTTGCTTCTGCTGCATACATCCTAAATACGCGAGCCTTCTTCTGGTAACCGCATGTGCGCCGACGGCTCGGGCTTTAGCGACACGTTCATTCAGAGCTCATTCGTATCATGGTATATTTACGATGATTCGTATCCTGTGGAGATGTTTACGCAGTCTGCAGTGTCCTGTAAGAAATCATCTTAGTATTCCTAAAATACAAAAAATATAAAATTCCAAAAAAATATCTTGCAAAAATATTTAATCCTAAGTATATAACCATTTTGCATTATGTTACTTGTAAACTCACAATAATTGTTTAAAAAATGTGTCTTAACTCTAATAAATGCAACAGTTTCCACAAAAAATATTCACAATGAAATACAATTATATCAAAAATAAATGCAACATGCGTCCACATATCCACTTCAATATTTTACATGCGGAATACACCAAACCGTGTAGATTGACTAGCGTTATTCAAAGCCGCTTTTAAACTTAAGCCTAACACTTGACGTGTATTCGCTGGATCAATGATACCGTCATCCCATAAACGGGCAGTACTATAATAAGGTGAGCCCTCCTTTTCAAATGTTTCGATAATAGGTGCCTTCAACTTATTGGCCTCTTCCTCGGTAAAGTCTTTGCCAGCACGTTTACGTTGATCTGCCGTTATTTGCGCCAGAACATTGGCTGCCTGAGTGCCGCCCATCACGGAAATTCGGGAATTCGGCCACATGTAGAGAAAACGTGGTGAATACGCGCGACCACACATTCCGTAATTTCCAGCACCATAAGATCCTCCGATGATAACTGTAAATTTAGGCACATTTGCACAAGCTACAGCAGTCACCATTTTCGCACCATTCTTTGCAATTCCATTGGCCTCAGCATCGCGACCAACCATAAAACCTTTTCGAAAAGTTTCGATAAAAATACATTGACATACAAGTTATCATTATTTGCAATTTATCTTACCAGTAATATTCTGTAAAAATACTAATGGTATATTCCGCTGTGCGCATAACTGAATAAAATGAGCGCCTTTTAAAGCACTCTCCGAAAATAGTACACCATTGTTTCCGATTATTCCTACTGTATGACCGTATAGTTTCGCAAAACCGCATACCAATGTCTCGCCATATAGTTTTTTGAATTCTGTAAAACGACTTCCGTCCACTATTCGTGCTATGACCTCACGCACGTCAAAACTCTTAGTCAATGTAGTGCCCACAATTCCATATAATTCATATTGGTCATATTTTGGCTCTTCGATCATATCAGTGTCTTTGGCATTGACGGTTCGATTTGCCATTTGACTTGAATATAACAATTTTTCATTGTAGCTATTTGTTGAGGGCAAGTTTAAATTACGCACAACCTGCCTAGCTAAATAAATTGCATGTTCATCATCCACCGCATAGTGATCGGTTACACCAGAAGTTTTACAGTGTAAATCAGCGCCACCCAAGTCTTCAGCAGATACTTCTTCACCTGTAGCAGCTTTTACTAAAGGAGGACCAGCTAAAAATATGGTACCTTGTTTTTTAACAATAATGCTTTCATCGGCCATGGCCGGAACGTAGGCGCCTCCAGCCGTACAACTTCCCATCACCACTGCAATCTGAGGTATACCTAAAGCTGACATGTTAGCTTGGTTATAAAAAATGCGTCCAAAATGTAGCTTGTCTGGAAAAACTTCTGCCTGACGTGGTAAGTTGGCCCCACCAGAATCTACTAAGTAGACACACGGCAAACGATTTTCTTGTGCAATCTCCTGAGCACGTAAATGTTTCTTCACAGTAATTGGATAGTAAGAACCTCCTTTAACCGTAGCATCATTAGCAACAATAACGCACTCAGTTCTGTAATAATGTACATATATTTTTTAAGTATTCATTGAATTTGTATGCATCTATTACTAATACATACCCACATATTCTACCTACGCCAGTAACAATACCGCCTGAATTGACTATATCTTTTCCATACAATTCGTATCCCGCCAAAGTGCTTAATTCAAGAAATGATGATCCTTTGTCTAGTAATAAATTGATGCGTTCTCTGGGCAAAAGTTTGCCTCGTGAAGTGTGGCGCTCGATTGCTGTAGTTCCACCACCAGTCAGAATTTGCCGAGTGATGTCATCTAGCTGGTTTACCAAATTTGTCATTTCCACAACATTTTCCTGTAATTGTTTATTGTAGAGCACATAATACAAATATTCTACTTGTTTAATAATAACCTTAAACTCAACAGAATTCTTATCAATTGAGCTTGACAAAACATCAGCATCGCCAACATGCAAAAGTCGGGCTGTGTTACGAGGTATTTGTTGTGTTATGGGGCTTCTAAACAATTTCAATAACTTAAACATGATTGTACGCTAATTACAAAAATAAATTAAGATAACAATACAAAACTGATAAATCATTAGACTATCACAATCTAATGACCAACAATATGGAATTGTGTGGATAAATTACATCACACGCTATAGGATTGATAACAAAACAGCTGTTAATTTTTCGATCGTAGATCGATACATAATAATTGTACGCATAGAGTTTTCCATTCCATATACATTTAACATGTTTTTGTAAACTTAAATTATACTTATATCTATAAAGGTTTTATTACATATGAATAAAATATCTGGTAAAACATAGTAATTAATAATTAATAAAAATATGTGTTTTGTAAAATAGAAAAAATAAATTTATTGAATTCGCCTTGCTCATTAATTGCACCTCTGGAGAATTCTGACGTTTCTTTTTGTCAGGTTTTTTTCTTTATTTGCGAAGTTCTTAACGTCAAGTTGGAATCAGTAGTCATTTCCATCATTTGAACAAAATCAATTTTATTACAAATTAAAATCAAAATGTTGGGTCGCACAAGTCTTTTGGCTCGTAATATCACCCAGAGTTTGGTCAGGCACCACAGCCATGGCGGTATTCCCGGCGAGGTATGTTAATTCTTTGGGGATATAACAACCCTTTCAATAGCCACATTGTTACATAAGTTAACATTATTTAAAATTTTTTATTATTGAAATTTTGCTTCAAAGAACTTGCCTTTCGGTCTGAATAACCGCTACAAGTTGACCGCTTACTTTATACTTTTCTTCGGTTCTGGATTGGCTGCTCCGTTCTTGGTCGTCAGACATCAACTGCTGAAGAAGTAAAATTTAAGGTTAGTGAGTGCATACTAAGCTCTTTTACGATATAATTACATTTGCCATATTTTTTTTTAAACATAGTGCTGATTTTAATAGTGTTTTTATTTTTTCCTTTTAGGCCCAACTTTGTAAGCATAAATGATGGAATTTTGGCTGGAAAACTTTTGAAAGCTATGACCAACTATTTAAAAGTGTGTTATGTATGATTAAGATAAAAGTGAAACTATTTTCACCAATAAAAAGTATGTCATACTAAAAGGTCTTGAATTTTTTAATTAATATTTGGCAAGCGAATTTTGAATTTGTGAAAATATAATGAGCGGACATGGTGGATATGAATAATTTTGGCAGAAAATAAAAAAAACAATACTTGATAGGAATGTAAATGATTCCTTAGGGCGATACATCCTTTTTATATATAAAAAAATCATATAACTTTTAAATATTGTCCGAATTGTCTATTTTATTCCATATCAAGCATTTGTAGGATTCCCAAAACTGTGGGGAATTATTAAAATGTAAATACTGTAGATTTTTAAATACACCTAGTGTCACCTAGCTTCGAAAGAAAACTTTTTAAGTTAAAAAAAGTATACTTTGACATATCTGTTAAAAAACCGTCATCCACAAAAAAATACTTTCAAGAACTGAATCCTACATATATAAATATTACAAACATTTCAGAGTGAATTGGCTGAACTTTTGATTGGAAATATACAAATCCACTAAAATGACTGGTCGATTAGGTATGCTTGCCCATAGAATACGTCAAGTTTCAACCACAATGGTACGACAAGGCGGACATGGCAGACCCGGTTGTCCGGGTGAAGTATGTATGTACAATATTAACTTTGACTGAAAAGTAAAAAATTATTTCTTTATATTTTTTCAAAGAATCTTCCAATAAACTTGAATGCTGGAAAATTCAAAATAACTATGATTATGACACTATTCTTTGGAGTCGGCTTGGGCGCTCCTTGGCTCGTAGTCATGTGGTCAATGGTAAAAGGCAAATAATGGTAAAATTAAATTAACAAAACAATGTTAATTATAACACAACGTGTTTGTACAAAATAAATATAATGCTGTATTAAAAAACAAAAATTTAACTAGTATTTAAATTCAACTTAATTCATCGTTATCATAATTCATCCCTTTCATCAAAGTCGTACTCCTCTTGAATGGGACTGAAAGGGCAGTATTTCGCCTGAGCTCCGCAAATTTGAGAGTCCAGATCGTCGCTAAGTTTTGGAGCTTGTAAGGCTTTTATGATGATTTCTTCGTGATCGTCGAGTATCTCCAAACACTAAATTAAAATGGAAACATTAAATATTCTACTATTAATTGAACAACAAAACTTACATAGTGGCCAAGACTTTTATTTAAATCACCATCTTGGACAAAGTCCACAAGCGATGATTCCGGATTCATCTTTCCATCGACAATCATCTTAAGAAGTGTGAACTTGCCATTGCTTTTATATGTAGCTTTAACATAATCCTCCATTTTATCACCTGCAAAAAGCAAGCAGCATATTTGATGTATTGTTAACTTTTCATTTCTTTAAACGAGTTTATTAATATCTAAATCAAACGCAACATCACTTACAAATCTTTTCCATTAACTCGGTTAGATACATCTCTGATTTAACAAGTTTAACGGATTTACTTATAGAATTTCCCTTGGCATCAAGTCGAAATCCACTGACGTCAACTGTTTTATTTGGATCTTCCTTAGAAATTGCATTCTCCAATTCTTGTACCGTCGCCTTGCAAACTTTTAAATAAAAATTATAGCTATTAATTTGTAATTTAATTCTTAGACAGTAATAAAAATACCATGACATTTCACCTCCTGCGAAGTGAATCCTTCTGCCACTGACCATAGTACCAACAAACATAGCACTTTTATTAGCGCCCTACCAATCATTTTGTTAAAATTTAAGCACACTCGCTATTATCAAAGTGAAATCTTCCCCGTCCTTTCCGAGGATTTACACAAATAATACGCCAATACCAAGAAAATTAGCGTAAAGTACTATTAAATTATCTCAAATAGCCGCATATCAACAACAGGTTTAAAATATTCCACGTCTCCCCGTTTTATTGGCCAGTTATCGCTTTCTCATAGCATGTCTACTCGGTGCGTTCAGTGAAATACTGATAAGACGACATTGAAAAAGTTGAAAAGCATCAAAGTCGTAAGCCAATTCTTCACGTTATAAGCTCTGGAAGATTCTTTTCTGATTTAAAACTCTCAATATTTTCAAAGTACTTGAAATACTACCTTGTTTCCGGTGGATATATTTATTAATAAAGAGGGCTGGGACATTAAAGTATTAAAGTTTCAATGAATTGTCAAATCACGAAGTCATTCAAAAAGGTTTATTCCAAATTTGATTAATTATAAAAATCACCTCTTCCTACTTGGCGTTAGCGCAATTTTGTTGAAAAGTTTTGGCATCAAGCAGCATTTGGAGTTGTCTTGCAGTTAGTGTCAAATGGAAATTCATAATATGTGTTTTCGGTTTATTGGTGTTGTGTTTGAAAAGAACAAGACGAAAATTGTGAAGCAATTTAAAATTAAATGCAAATTTAAGACAAATCGCGGGAATATATATTTGGATGAACTATAGCAATATTTCTAACAGAGGTGGTATATTAAACGGGTAAGTAATTATACAAATTTTTTTAAAACAATTGGAAATCGATTTGTATTACACATTAACTAGCCAAACAGATTACAAAAATAACTTATGTTATGTTGTGCTAATTTATGTTCTATACAAAATTCGTATAGAATGTGAATATTTGGAGGAATTTTATGTAATAAAAATTTGAATTTAAATTCTAAAATATATATGGTAATTGTTTGAAATTTTATATTTCGAGGTAAATACATCGATTGAGGAATATTCTATAATTGCAACCCTGGCTAACACGCTACTTTTTAGCGAATTGCTCGGCGGCCATGCATTCGCACAACACTGTGCGCGCCATATTGTAAAGTTCTTCAGCTGCAAACCGTACGTACATGAACGGTCCGTGCTAAAAATTTATGTGTGCCCGTTTGTGAAATAGTGAAAAAAATTCCAAAGTTTTTTCATTTAAATAATGAAAAAGCTATAAGAGGTGCAGAAAAAAAATTATTAGCCAAACATTAAAAAATTTGCTTATATGTAAAAGTAGAGCTATACGTAAGTAGTAGAAACAGTTTGAGGGTTCACTAGACGGTTTTTACAATTTTTAGAGGAGATGAAATTTATAAATCCTAAATATCGAAGCTAAAAACTCATAGAAATTTAAGCAAAGTTTGTAGAAGAAGAAATCCAAATTGAAGGAGCGCTAGAAAGTAATTTATATATATATGTATTTTTTTTTTTTTTAGTTTTTTTTTTCTTTACTCTACTACTAATTGTAAAAGTGAATAAGCAAAAGTGATGAAGAAAGGCGACTTCATTATAACTAAAGAAATTATTTAAGGGAAATTAATATATAACGCATTTAAAACGTCTCGTATCTTTGTGCGTATATTTAAGTCTGCAAGAAAACAGTGATGAGATGGCTTGCAAAAAACAAATTGAATACGCGGCACAGGAAAACATTATCGATCCTACAAAAGAAAATTTTAATTACGAAAGGCACGTAGGTGCAACGAAAAAGTGTTTAAAATCTAACTAATATAAAGTTTAGTCTACAAATACGGCGAATTAAATTAGTGGGTAAGTGGTATTTATTAAATATTTGTAAAATTTAATATCAAAAGTTGATACACTTATGGTGGTGCAAGCGAAATGCAAGTTTGACATTACATTTCGGACTTTACACAAAATTAAAAAAAAAAAATTTAGATACCATTTGAACGATTTGTATGCACATACATACATTTCAAAGGATTTATTAATATAAATAAGTAATTATTTAGAATAAAATGTATGTACATATACTTACGTGAACTGATGCATATTTAGTTCATAGTTGAAATCGGTTCAGGCATTGGCGCTTCAATATTCAACTCGTAGGTAGAATATCCTACCAATTAACTAGTTTGACAGGTTTTAAGGTTAAGTTAATATTTTTGTTTTGCTTTTACAAATACAACTAAATAAATTCTAACCAAAAATTCATCATGGCCTTCTTGCTTGTTGCTTTGTTTTTGCACATTTGTTGTTGGCTATGAAGTCAGGGCACACATGTGGGATTACATTATTCAGTCTTATCACCGGTATTTTTTCATTTTACCTTAAGTAAAGACGTTTTTTTAAACATACGATAAAAAGTACAATAAGTTATATACGAATTAAACGAATATATTATAAGGGTTTTAAATAATATTATAGTTACAGTGATTTTTTTTGACCATATGGTGCCTACAAAAAAGCTTATTTTTAGAAAAAGATTTGATTATATTTGATTCTATAGCTACAGCTTTCGAGAACATGATTTCAATTACACCATTTTCTCCTTAATTTAGAGTTTATGCATTTCACATTTAGCTAGATTAGGATACTTATAATAATACTCGGCAACTTTTAACATGGTATACAATTATCTGGTAACCCCTACCTAAAATTTCATACAACGGGTTTTATAAAGAAAACTAATATATATAGCCATGTATGGTTTGAATTTGTCGTTACTAAACGTTTATATGTCTATCCTAGTTTTTGATATAGATATTAATATTCTACAATTTCAAATGTTTATTATCATTAAAAGTTTTATTTATAACTCTATTATATTATATATAAATTCTCAATGATCACTATAGGGTCTACCGAGAAGTAGAAGAGCTTTAAATATGCCATTAATTTGCAGTTAATTTCAGATTCAATACTTAATTAGTTTCACTTGATGTTATGAACCAATTCAGTGTAATTTTGGGTTGTGTAATTCTATGCAGAACTACTGTAGTAATCAAATAACATAGTCTTCGAATAACTACAATCTTCTTGTAGAATCTGTATGGCTGCAGCTTGCAGTAGATAGTCTCACTAAATTCAAATATTAACCCGTTTTAAAACTACGAATCAATGAAACATGCTGTGTATATATATTTTCCAACGATATGAACAGAAATTTTAATACATTCTCCAAGATGTATTTCACGTTTTTTTGAAATATTATGATACAATTGCAAGCTGAAAATGTATTTTGTATTAGTTGTAAAAATATATCACAAATATTAACGTAATACAAACCTTGAGTGCGTACAAAATAAATTGTTCTAACTTTCAAAAGTTTCTAATACACGATTCATATGATTTCAGCTGTCTTCACAACTGTGTTACTTCTCCAGTGCTCTTTTTCCGTTGATTGAAGCACTAAATTTGCAACGACCGCAATTTTTTTTTTTATCTAAAAGATACATTTTTAGTGGTATTTATATTTCACATTTACTTGTTTTCGTTTGTAAAATCGTGTTAACTCTTTCAAACGTACTGCACATTGTATCGGTATCTTTCACCTTACGTAAGTGATATGTTAGTGCGCTCACCTAACAGATGAGCACGAACAGCATAAATTGAGCGACTAGCAAACAAAATCCAGAAATACACACAGATACTCTCGGTGAAACTCACACCAATATATTCACGTGAATATGAGAATTTAGTAAAATTGTTGAGTTTATGACTGAGGAGAGATCGCTGGCGGGCGGTTTATTAGTACAGCGGCAACTTGTAGAAAATTGTTGAAGACTGTCAGAGCGAGCGTTAAAAAGTCGGCACATCCGCCAGGGCAATGAAAACCTTTGAGGAGGCAATTCTTATTGCGATTAATTTCACGCGTCGATTCGTGGTCATCCTATTCAACACCAGCAACACCAAATCTAATTGTAATCATACTAGTCACATTTTGTGCATTCAAAACTTTGCTAGGTGTGTGACTCCACCAAATCATTTATATGATGTATGAGTAAAATAAAAGGGAAGAGAACTTAATGCCTATGGTGGTTATTGGTTTGGTGATGGCTCATGACTTCCGATGCCGAATATTCGTCTATGATATTATACGGTTTTGTAAATGGTGGAGTCTGTTGATTTTATACAGCGCACAGGTGCCATGAGTTATGCTCAATTTCCTCGCATGTCTCTTCCACACGTGACTACATATACCGAAATTTGTCAATTTCAGTACAATTTTTGGTTATTAATAATATTAAAATATGTGAAGTTTGCACTTTTTTACCTGAACGATGTATTTCCTCCAGCACCTGGTTAACACAATTGAATGTTACAAAATTTGTGCACAAATATGCTATGTTCAGGGAACATAACCAGTGTTACCAGATTTTAATTTGTTTAAAATATATTTGCACACAATCAGAATTTTTTTTAATGTATTTTTTGGTATAACTATGTATTAAATAATAAATTTGACGTAATATGTTTCCCCTAACTTTTTAAATTCTCTGAACTCTGCCGAGTTGACAGTTCTTGACCGGTTAAAACTCCGGTTACGTAAACCCGGCTGTCATGTGAACGGTTTAAATAGTTTTAATTTTATTTAAAAAAATATGTATTTATTGCAACAGTAATAATCTTACTGCGCAATGCTAACAATTTATATATATATTAATTTACGTTATTAATATTTTCGTGTGGTAACACTGACAGCCCGTTCGGCAGAAAACGACGATCGTCGTCTTTCTTCGCAGGCAGTCTTTCGAACACTTTGTATTTGTCGTGGTATTTAATCGAAAATGTTTGCGGCGGCGGTAAGATGTAACAAAACATTTACTCATCAAATTTTTGTGAATATCTGTAGAAATTCATTGAGAAAGAAATTAATTAAAAGGGAATTCAATTGTGAAAAATATCTAAAATTAAAAATTAGTGAATAATAGTGGTGAAAACATTATTAATATGTGCGAACTAACGAAACAGTGTAGAAAGTAATTTATTTGCCAAGTGAAACATTAAATAAAATTGCTGGGTAAAACTGGGCGCGAGTAATTTACATTACAAAGAAAACAAGTGAAATGTAAAACTGTGAAGAAATTGAATTTTGTAAGAAAAAATCTGTATTCAATAATTGAACGGAGATATAAAACAAAGGCCAACATAAAATTGGTTGCTTTGGGTTTGGTGACGGTGCTGATGTAAGTGCAATTTTTCATATAAACGACATTTTGTTTTAGTTTTTGGTACTTTAATGCATATTAAGAAGTAAAAAATATAAATTGTGTTGAAATAAACTAAGAGAAGTAATATTTTCCAAAGTTTATTAGCTGCAAAATTAAAAGAAAAAATGCATAAATTTTTAGGTTAGGTCAATTCAATTGGTTTATATACGTCGTTTTGTTCCTCTATTTCACCTCCGCTGTCGTCGTGCATATATGTATACACGCGCGCTCGTGAACATTTAGCATACACATACACATTTTACGACATATGTGTATAGAGTTCAAATTCATACATAAATATGTATACAGTGAGTGGTTATATATATATATATAGATATATATATATACGAAAATTTGCCTTTCTGACAAAAACGTATGACTGGCAACGACGATAAAGTCAACGGCGTTGCTGTGTTGGGGCTGAATTTTTTTCGTGTATATACATATACACTCAAAAGTATATAAACAGGACGGGCCGTTGCCATATCACAGAACTAGGAAGAATTTTGAAAGTTAAGTTTCGTGTTATATATAAATTAATTATAATTTATTTTACATGGAAAGTTAATATGCACATTAAAATGAGATGTGATATTGCAAATGGTTTGAACAATATTTGTAGATTTAAAATAATGTTGGGTTAAACGAAAAACTAAGTGGCAACAATAGCAAATCGTTTGTTGTATTCGGTCATATTCGGGTGATCAGTAGTCGTACGCCTTTTAGTCTAAATTAAAAAAAAATATATAAAATTGAAATAAAATATAGACAACGAATGCCGAGAACGACTTGAAATTTTACTTTTATTTTACTCCTTTGCTTTTATTGTAATTCCGTTTTCGAGTGTTGTTTATTTATGGTTATTTGCAAATTTATTAATAGAGACGACAGATTGAATCGATGTAAATATTTAATAAAAATACGAAAACGACAAAGAATCTTTATTGCCATAAACCTCCCAACACCTTAAAGTTTCAAAATAAAATTACATATTAAGGTGCATATCCAGTATTATATATTCACCCAGCATAGCTTTTTTAGAACTTATTATAGGTATACCAAGTAACTTTGTTATTATTTGTAGCTATGAATGCAAATTATATTATACCTACATACATATATGAAGATAAGATACCCGCAAAAATGGAGGGAAACCCTATGCATGCCCACCGTATCCCGCCTCAAGAGATACTAGTGGCCATTTTCAGTTCGTTTAGGCACTGCTATGAGGAGCTCTTGTTTGGATGTGCAGTGTATATAGTATTTTTCACCCAGTATAGTACAATGACGCGTTGTATTCGCGGGCGCATACCTCATATTTGTATGCAGCTTCACCACCCCATTCGCCACCAATTTCCTCTCTTCTCCAAGCAAGTCTTGAAATCGCATTCAAATATTCCACTTTGACTACCGTGGGTAGTCAGCCAGTCAGACAGCCACCATTGTCGTTGTCGCCGTCGTCACTGCTGCTGACCCATTCAAAACAATAACAAAAACAAGGTACTCAAACTACTAGCACACAAGCAAACTCATTTTCAAGGATTGTGTCATTTTATTTCTCTTTTACACTCATTCGTATGATGATGTCAAAACTAGTATCACTCACTGAAGTTGTTTCACTTTAACACACGCGTTTGTTGCGTTTGTATGGCTCGGTTCGTCGCTTTCTCTTGTTATATACGAGCGCATAATCAGCAAAAGCGACGAAGTGTTTGTATTTTCCTTATCTCTGCTAGTACAGTTTACAATAATAATATGTTCGAATACTCAGACAATGTTTAATCGATTAAAAGTGTGATATTTTTATTTTAAATTTGTAATGCACTTTTGATAGTTTTTCCTGAGTTGCAAATATATGAATAAAATATAATGTGTTTACTGTTTATGATATTTGGGCCCATCTTTCTCACCAATTGCATAAAAGAAAAGTTTCGCCAGCGATGCAAAAAATTGATACATGCATCAATGTAAATAAAAATTCACATGCCTCTATATAGTAAAAATATTACCGGGTCGCAAATATTTTAATTTTAATAATTAACCAAGCTGATCAAAAAATCAAAAAAACAAATATGCTTATAGTGAAATCGTGATCTGTGGTAGAATTAAAAAAAAAATTGGTAAATATTACGAATGTTTAATACCTAATTGTTTTTTATAATATGCAACTGGGAGGATACAATTTTGATACAAGAATCTATAGAGAAAAACTTTGTTCTGTAAGTGTAATATGTATATACATATAAATATAATGGAAAATTTGTGTCTGGTTGCCTTAGATTTTTCTAAAGAGATGCGAGGAATAAAATTTGACATGCTTTTTTGTTTGTATATAATTTTAAAATTATCAGCCAAAAGAGTATTGGTTATGCACCATGTTATATGGAAATTGGATTCACCTGTCAATATTGTGGCTGACTGAACTCTACAATCATTTATATACATTTTAATTCTGGATTTTTCAAACTATATATTGTAAAAGTGCATAAATATTTACTAAATACGCATAAATACGTTTACTATCTCATATATTGCACGTCACACAAGTTCGTATATTTATATACATACATATGTTCATATATGTAGGTATATTGGATTATTTTTTGTTACATACCTATATTAATCGCAAGCAAGTGCACGCATACAAGCAGGTCAGACTGATGACGATGGATTTGGGCGAACGATATTATTGGTGAACAAGGTGAAGTTTGTATGTGTGGGGAATGGGGCTTGGTATTTTCTCGTTGAGTTCCAATGGTTTGCTATTTTGCCTACCTTTTTGTTCTACTCCCTCCATAGTGGCGCTCTTTACGAGTACATATTGTATTATACATATGTATGTATGTATGTAGTGTGGTGTGCATTTTGAACTATTTTGTGCCAACTTGGAGAGCTTTTCTTTTATATAGAACTGCAATGTATACTACCTATAAATATGAAAAATATTATCCAAACTAAAAAGATTTTATTAGAGTTTGTGGAATATTTTTCATAACTAAAAACGTGAAAATAAATTGCAACTTTTGAAATGTTAAAAAATTGTATATGAATGTTTTCCTAGAAACTATTACATCCAAATTTACTGGCGGACTAGGATTTTTGTACGGCCAAGTAATGTAAACTCGGCAACATTTTTCAAAAGTATTCGGGGAATATTTTCTGTCGCTAAAACAAAAACAACAAGCAACAAGCTTTTTAATATTCTACTCAATAAATATGAGTAAATGTAATTTAAAGTTAAAAAATAATTTTTTTATAGGGTAAAGCCACTTCTATGAAAATTACAAATTTTCTTCATTTCAAGTATATTAAAACTCTTCTACATTGCCATGTACTATATACAATTTTTAACTTATTTTAATTATATATATTTAGTAAAACTAATGAAAAATAATTTTTCTTCTTTTACAGATTTAGGATTTAGAAAGCTGTTTGTTTTGTCACACAGAGCTTTCGAAATTGCCTTCTGTGAGTTGACGGCGACTCACAGCGCAATGAAAAGGCAACACAGTCATCGTATGCCAATAGAAACAAAGCCGCAGCAAATATATAAATACAAATATCGTGTAAATAATAATAAACCGTATTTATTTCCATTGGAGTTGATGAGAAAGCCAAGTATTATTGAAAAAATTACTAAGTGAAATTAATAATTAAAAAACAAAAACGTCGGCAGCTTTCGATTAAAATCATCATCTTAAAAGTGATATCTCTAAAGTTGAAAACAATTGAAATTGAAATACATTAAGTGCGTATAGACTACAATAAAAAATAATTGCAGCAATTGCAACCAAAATGATGAAACGTACGCGTGTGGATGAAGTCCAATACGGCACGCGACCTGGCCCTGGTGGTGTGGGTGGCAGTGGCGGTGGAGGCACTGGCGCGACCATAGTGGGGACCTCTAATCCCGGTAACACAGTTAATATTGGCACTGTTGTTCCCGGTAGCCATGGTAATACCAGTTTAAGTGTCGGTTTGTCAGGAAGTAATGCAACTGGTTCAATCCCACATCATCGCATTTTAATACCGCAACATGGTGGAGCGCAGACAATTGCTTATTTGCCATCAACAACACCAGCAGCGACAAATATGAAGGGTTCTGGTGGAATGGTGGATAGTAGTACTGGTAGCGGCAATTCCTCGAGTCACGATAATAGTGGAGGATCCAGTGGCAATACTGCGCAGTTACCTGGAGGAACAGTTGTTACTTCAGGCGGCGGTGCCGCGGGGACTGTCAATGCAGGAACAGTCCACACTCAAGCTGTGCAGTATTCTTCAACTTGTAAGTAAATTAAAATTATTTAAATATAACTTAGTAAAACCTTTGGTTAGGTATAAGAAAAAGAAAAAATTATGAAAAAATGTTTTATTTATTTCATTTATTTAGCCTACAATGTTTCATCAGTATCTTCCAGTGTTGGTGGTAATATTAAAACAAGTACAGATGGACCCGTGCAAATTCATGTAACCGGTGGTGGTGCTGGCAGTAATGTACAGAACTCTGCATCGCAGCCAAATTCTATGCGGACACGTACAATCAGCTCTTCTCAAAACATTGTTGTCGGCAGTGGAACTGCACTGAATGCAGCACAACCTCTGGCAGTGGTACCACCGTTACCAACAACATCGGGCCAACAACAAGGCCCTCCACAAGCTGGTCAGCCACAAGGTGGTCCTCCACGGCTTAAAGTGGAGGACGCACTTAGTTATTTGGATCAAGTTAAGTTCCAATATGCCGATCAGCCACAGATTTATAACAACTTTCTGGATATAATGAAAGAATTCAAATCGCACTGCATTGATACGCCTGGTGTAATTCAACGGGTGTCAACTCTTTTTAAAGGGCACACAGAACTGATTTACGGCTTTAATATGTTCCTGCCAGCCGGTTACAAAATCGAAATACATTCAGATGAATTAGGCGTTTCAGTACCCGTTGTGTCAATGCCATCAGCGTCGCCTAACAGCTTGCACAGTAGTATGTCTAATTTACCCGGAAATGTTGGCAATATCCAAACACCACTACTACATAAATCAAATCAAAGTAATTCAAGTAATACTTCGAGTACTATAGAACTTCAACAAATACATGGTAGCAGCAGCAGTAACGCAAGTGTGGCTGTCAATCTGATGACACACGGTGGCGCATCGTTGTCCCAAACAACAATACATGCACTACAGTCACCGGCTTCACAATCTTCGCCAAGTGGACCGGGAATGGCACAACAACATGCTCAAGTTGCTGTATCGCCTGCGCCATCGTCCGTTGCCCAAATTCAGAGTGTGACAGTGGCACCAGTTTCAGCGGCGCATTTACCACAAAATTTTTCACGAGATCGCGAGCGTCCTCCTATAGCGCCGGCCATAGTCACTAGTAGCATGGGCGGCGGCCCGCCCACACTTAATGCGCTTGGCGAATTGAACCCACAAATAAACAACACTGTCAGTAGTGGCAATATCGGTAATAGTGGAGGCAATGCCCACCATAATCTCCATCACATTCAACAGGCCCATCAGTCATTACTCATGGGTGAAACTGTAGGCCAACAAAATCAGCCGGTCGAGTTCAATCATGCAATATCGTATGTCAATAAAATAAAAGTAAGTTATTAACGACAATATGAATTTAAGCCGAAAAAATTCAATGTTTTTTTCTTAACTTTTCAGAATCGTTTCCAGAACAAGCCGGAAAAATATAAAAAATTCCTCGAAATTCTTCACACTTATCAGAAAGAGCAGAAAGTGATTAAAGAAGGTAGTCCCAATCAAGGGAAAACATTGACCGAACAAGAGGTGTATACACAGGTTGCAAAGTTATTCGGTCAGGATGAAGACCTTTTGCGCGAATTTGGTCAATTTCTTCCGGACGCCACGAATCATCAAGGCGCACAATATATGTCCAAATCGCATAACGATCACAAACGTTGCAGCACTAACATAGCTGTGGGCCCAATGGCTAACAGCGTTAGTGGCGCAATAAGCGTTGGAGGCGGTAGTGGCCATCATATGGCCATGCCAGCAGCATCTAGTTCCCCGCTACATCTCAATAGTGGCGCGACATTATCACAAATTGGTGGTGGTACACATGCAACGGTATTAGGAAACTTATCTGCTGTGAATACAAGTGTAAGCATCAAATCGTACAACAACACCCAAACGCAGCCTCAAAATCATGTGATCAGTGCGAACGCAGTAGGGGGCCGTGGTGGAGACGTAGATTATGCACACCACGTAACGCTTCATTCCAGTAGCGGAGTTCATTTGAAGGTGATACATGATGGTGTTCACCACGATTTAAATGTCGGCTCAAATATGCGCAACTATGAGAAAGACACGCATCGTAGCAATCATCACGCTATAACAGGTATAAAATATTCACACGGAGCAGGCTCTAATGTTACCGGAGTTACCAGCCACTCTTCCAAGAAGTCGCCAAGCTACAATTCCGGATTTGGTGCGATAAGTAGTAGTGGCAATGCAGCAATGAGTAGTAGTAGCGGAATTGATCGAACGTCGATTAATATGAATTATTCGCACCATGTACTCGGTCATTTATCGGCAACGCGTCGTCCAGCAATTGATGATGGCGGTAGTGGTAGTGGCGGTGGCGGCGTAGGTGGTGGACCACCGCCGCCTAAAAAACACAAGCCGATTTGTAAGGACATCACATTTTCAGAGGCATCGCGAAAGTGCACCATATCCGACGCGGCATTCTTCGATAAAGTGCGCAAAGCATTACGAAATCCTGATGTATACGACAACTTTTTGCGTTGTCTAACACTATTCAACCAGGAGATTGTGTCAAAGACTGAATTGTTGAATTTAGTAACGCCATTCTTAAGTAAATTCCCAGATTTACTAAGCGGATTTACTAAATTTTTGGGACAACCTGTGTCGCAAATGCCTTCGGGCGGCAGCGGCGGTACTGGCACCGGCATATTTGGATTGGAAGAAATACCTATGCAATCGGCGCATCGACAAAGCGGCAGCCTAAGTAATGCAGGTGCAATAAACGATCGTCAAGGCAATCATCAAGGCGGCGAATTGGCACAGGATATCGATTTAACCTCGTGCAAACGACTTGGTGCATCCTATTGCGCCTTGCCACAGTCTATCGTCCCGAAAAAATGTTCTGGCCGTACAGCGTTATGTCGCGAAGTGCTAAATGATAAATGGGTGTCATTTCCAACATGGGCCAGTGAGGATTCGACGTTTGTAACTTCACGCAAAACACAATTCGAGGAAACCATTTACAGGTGTGGTTAAATTTTTTTTGAAGCATTTTATCATTTTTGCATTACATCCTCGTACAAAACACATTAACACATAAATTATATATTTTGGCAAATTTCACTTTTTGTATACAAAAAAACACTAAATAAATATCTAAACCACAAAAATTCTAATCAAAGGAATATTCACAGGACGGAGGATGAACGTTTCGAATTGGATGTGGTAATTGAGACTAATAGTGCAACAATACGTGTACTCGAGGGTGTGCAGAAGAAAATGTCACGCATGTCACCGGAAGATTTGAGCCGATTTTATTTGGACGACTACTTGGGTGGCACCTCACAGACGATACACCAAAGGGCTATACACCGCATATATGGTGATAAGGCAGGCGAAATAATACAAGGTCTAAAGAAGAATCCCTCGGTTGCAGTGCCAATAGTGCTCAAACGTTTGAAAGTGAAAGAGGAGGAGTGGCGCGACGCACAAAAAGTAAGCTTGCTACTTATTAAATCTTGTATTGAACACATTTTCATTTAAAAATTTCAAATTATTAATATATTTTAATCATTTACGTTTTATTAGGGCTTCAATAAGCTGTGGCGTGAACAAAACGAGAAGTATTACTTAAAATCACTCGACCATCAGGCAATCAATTTTAAACCGAACGACATGAAAGCGTTACGTTCCAAAAATCTCTTCAATGAAATTGAAACATTATACGATGAGGTATGTAGCGACAATTAATGTTGATAATTGTTTGTTTTTTTTTAACCAAAAATGTTGAAGGAAAAATAATAATTTTTGTCTCCGGTTTCGCTTAGCGCCACGATCAAGATGATGAAAATGGTGAACCTATTACTGGACCACATCTCGTGCTGCCATATAAAGATAAGACAATACTTGATGATGCGGCGAATTTATTAATTCACCATGTAAAGCGTCAGACTGGTATACAAAAGCAGGAAAAGACTAAAATCAAACATATATTGCGGCAATTCGTGCCCGATCTGTTTTTCTCGTCCCGTCAACCGTTAAGTGACGATGAACGTGAGGACGGTGAGTCAGTTGCTTAGCAAATGCTAATTAGTATCTATGTATTTTACATAAATCCATTTATATGTTAGAAATTATTTAATTACAAATTGATTTTATTTCTGCATTAAATTTCTATATACATGACCATTGAACTTTTTAATTAACAATATAGTTATTTGCATATGTTACACTTAGTATTTAATTAAAATTTTTATTAATTAGTTTGAATTTGTTGTTTCTGTGCCCGCCATAAATAATTTAGTCAATGTTTTTTTCTTCTTTTCTTTTTTTTCTTAACAATCAATTCATTATCATCTACACCCCTACATTCTCATACACTAATAATTACATTAAATATATAATTATATTTTTGCACTTTCTTTGATATTGAATCTTTGAATTTATTTACTTACTACCAACTATTCTTCCTATCGCTTTTTTTTTTTTAACATAACACAAAATTAATTATTTGTTCGCTATCTGCATCTATTAATCAACCTCTTACTCTAAACTGTTCCTCGACTCGAACAATTTCGTTTCACGCTTTGCCATACTTCATATTTTTATCTGTAAAGTATTCCCATTTTTAATAGATGACAACGAAAAGATGGATGTCGATTGCACGACAACAGGCAACCGGAGCGAACGTGAGTTACATGCCAGCAGCGGTGGCAAAGGTAGTAGAACATCAAGTGGTAGTACATCGAACACCGATACAAATTGTGGTGCAACAGTAAATTCCAAGTCCGATAGCACTGGTTCACATGATAAAAATTCTTTAAATTCATCGACAGAAAATAGCATTTTGTTGGAAAATCACAAAAATGGTGAATCAAGTACATCAGCTGTAAATAGTAATAACAGCGCTGGGCAAATTGCCGTTGCGGATCGCAACACTGGTAATACATCTGCTTCCAGTTCATTAAGTGTGGGCGAAAAAGCCACCTCCAATAAAGATTCCAACTCGTCGTCGCTGGCTAAGGGCCAAGTCAATAATATTACCGCTGTCGACGATGCGAATAACGCTGGTCGTTCGGCAGCTGAAGCACTAACTAAACCCAACACCAATGTAGTATCTTCTACAATATCCACAACAGTAACGGTGTTGTCAGAAAATAAGACACAAGGAAATAGTAATGTGACTGGCGCTGCTACGGGCGAAAATACATCTGGACACAAGGATATTGCCGGCATGGCGTCATCATCTAGCACAATAACACCAACTGTATTAAAAGCTGGCGGAATAAAAGATGCAAATGAGAAAAATAATAGCAATGCTGCTGACAATAGTGCTGGCACAAATGCAGCGACGGCAGCCTCAACTCATGCCAGCGATTGTAATTCTGTTGATGCAATCAAGGTGGAAATTAAGGAGGAATCACCAGATATGGATGTGGACATACAGCTGCCACCTCATGCTGTCAGTAAACATTTGGTAAGTGTCTAATACCTTCAATTCTGAGCAACATAAAAATTTAAACAAAATATCAATGAAATAAAGTAAGTATGAAAAATTAATACTGGCAACTAGTAACAAGTTGGCGATTTTTTCGACTCGTTGTTTGTTGGTATTGCCAACCTAAAAAAAAAAAGAAGTACTTTTGTGTAATTTTGCAAATACACATGAATAATGAAGTACGAATTCAATACGTACTTTTTTCGTGCAGTTCTATTTCATAATAATATTTATTCTTGACTATAACAAATGTTTGGCGGTAAAAATCATTTTGATGCTATACATTCTCTGGTTATTCTTTAGAAATTTGTTCTCAACCTCAATTTAAATTATTGTTTTTTTTTTAATATTTGGATTTTGATAATAATCTAATAATTCAATTAAAAATAATATATTATAATAGGAGGAGGCGTACACACTTTTCTTTGCCAACAACAATTGGTATTTATTTTTGCGACTACATGCCATTTTATGTGAGCGGTTGTGCACAATGTATGAACGAGCGCAAATGTTGGCCATCGAAGAAGAACGTCATCGTTCAAATCGTCGTGAAAGCACAGCGACAGCATTAAGACTGAAACCGAAACCTGAACCGCATGTGGATGAGTATTATCCAGTTTTTCTGGAAATGCTCAAGAATGTGCTTGATGGTAATATGGATTCGAATTCATTCGAGGATTCTATGCGTGAAATGTTTGGCATACATGCCTACATCTCCTTTACGCTCGACAAGGTTTGTAATATCTACTTTTGCGTTCTCTATGAAATATTTAATGGATTGCTAATTTCTTTTAATTTCTGTTTTTTTTAGGTGGTTTCGAATGCTGTCCGCCAGCTGCAAAACTGTGTTACTGAACGCGGTGCACTTGAGTGTGTTGAATTGTTCCATCATGAGCAACGACGTGGTGGTGCAGGCAGTTATTGCCGCGATGCGCAGAAGAATTACGCCAACGAATTGGCATACCAGCGCAAAGCTGAAGCTAGTTTACATGAGGAGAACTGCTTCAAAGTATATATTGTAAGTTTTCCTTATTATTAATTGCTCAATTTAATTTTTTGTGCGTCATTGATACATATTAAAGCCTGTTTTTTAAAATATATTTTTGCTTTAGTATAAAATTGACTGCCGTGTAACGATCGAACTGCTCGACACTGAAGTTGAAGAGGCGGAAAAACCTTTAAATAAAGTGAAATCTTGGAGTAAATATGTAGATCGTCTAGCTAATCCCGTCGCGAACAGCATTAGCAGTCAAAATGCTGTAAATTTGTCCAACACAAGTATGGGCGGTACAGCGAGTAATACTAGTGCCGTTAGCAACACAAGTAATTCTAATGCGCTGGGCATGCCGACTATGTCAGGCAGTCTAGCAGGTGCAAACGGCGGCGAAATTAAGCTTGAGCGGATGGATGATGACGCACTGGTGAGTAGTTAACTATTCGTGTTTTAAGCTCTTATATTTTTAGATAGCAATTTCGTTTATTATTTAAATTTTATTATAATGTTATTTTAGTTTAATTTCTTCAACTGACTTTTATTTTTCTTGATAAATATTTGGTTGCATTATTGTAGGCGAACAATTGTTGCTAAGGGTAAAGCATGCGAATACCATTAAAATTTACACAGCGCCTATAAAAGCTAGTAGAAATTATTTGAAAAAAGCAAATTCTTAATATAAATTTATGTATTTTTTCTATCGGACATGCATATCTGTAAACTTGCAATTTTTGTTGTGTGTAAGAAAAAATTGAAAAGAGGCGAGTAGGAGAGCAGTGAATGAACGTAAGAGAGAGAGTGAGAGAGAGAGAGAAAGAGATAAAATCGGTATTATAAATTTTAAATTACTGATTTACAAAACTCTGTGCGTTTTACAAGAATATACAGATGTGTTATGATATTTAAAAATTTCGTTATACAGCATAACATCGCTAGAAACTCGCTTATAACTAGAATATATCAATAATTCTAATTGTCACTTATTGTACCGTAACAATTTGTTTGTATTCTTAAATGTTCTATAATAAAAACTATGTTAGAGAGCGAGCTGTCCGTGTCGTACAAAAATACAGATCTTTTCGATTCCGCGGACCCAACTGTCATAGTAACGTCCGCTTTTTGGTGCCATAATGGTTATATAAAAAATCATTCGAATTATTTTTATATTATCGTGTTTCAGATTCATATTGGCAATTATGTTTGTTTTGATTTACAATTCTAATTAAATAGAGTATTGAAAGTATGATTTCTTTTACCCCTGTCCTTCCGTTATAAACTCTCTAAAGTACACAAACTAATTGTTTTAAATAACAAGCACAAAGAAAATTATGAAAAGACATATATTTTCTCAATTATTTACGAATAAAGTTTAAATCTTAAGCGGCACATGTACTTGTAAAACGAACTAATACATATAACAAGATATTCATACTTACGTAAGTTACAATAATATAATATCTCAAGATATTAGCTCATTAGCACAATAAAGGGATATTATTAGCATGATATCGGCCTTTTCCGATTCCCAAGTCCGATTTTAACAAAAAGCTTGACTTTACCTCACCTCACCGAAATTACGTTACGATCGAATATTGACACCGATGCAACAATTTTATTTAAGTATTAGTTCAGTTGTATAAATGTAAATAAATGCTATATATTATTGATTTGATTTAATTTCTTTGCTGTGTTGTTTGAATGTTTTGATGTAAAACCTTCTGTTGTGTGTTTGTTCTTTTCGCTGCTTTAGTTTTTTTTTTTGTGGTATAATTTAGTTCAGCAATGGTTCGTCCTTAAAAGTACAATTTTCACTCACCACTCTTCACTTATGAAAACGAATGAATAAGTCACCTCAAATCACTAATTAATGCTTTTTTGCATTTCTTCTCATTTTTTTCAATTTTTCGTACCAGGTCAAACCCCCCAACAAGGCTTAAAAAATCAAAAACAAAAAAAAAAAAATGAGCAAATACTAATAAATAATGTAAATTAAACGATTTTAACATTTTCTTAACTATCGCAGAGAAAGCATAAACAAAAAAAAAAACAGAAAAAAACCAAAGAAAGAAAATTCACTGCAATAAAAAAATGGCAACGAAGTGATGCATACCTAGATATGAGCATTAATTTATAATCCTACACATTTTTCACAAAACATATGGAACATAAATGCACATTTGTAAATTTTGCAGTAAATTTACCAAAACAAAAAAGGCAACACAAACGCTGCCTATAACGAAAACAAGAAATGTTTTTATTTTCTCGACTTTAATTTTTTTATTTATATCGCACACACCCTAGCGTTTGAATCATCTTCAAATTTAATTTATACACTCCCCATCAAGTTAAGTTATCTTGCTCTGGCAATCGTGAAACTACTTTTATTGACTTCTATGTAGAAACATACTTTTCTAAACTTAGTTTTTGTACTAAACTTTTAAATCCAATATATTTATTTTTATACCCTGAACAGGGTAGGTAGCCCTATAAAATGTATATATATGTAAATGATTAGTGTGACAAGCTGAGTCAATTTAGCCATGTCTGTCAGTCCGTCTTTTTGTATATACGCCAACTTCAGTGTTTGAGATATCGATCTCAAATTTTGCACACGTTCTTCTTTCCACAAGTAGCTGCTTATATCGGACCATTAAAGCATATAGCTGCCTTACAAACTGAACGATCAAAATCATGTCCTGGTATGGAAAACTTTTTTATTTGACGAAATATCTTCACGAAATTTGGCATGGATTATTGTCCAAGGCAACGATACAATCTTCTAACAAATTGTTGAGATGGGACCGCTATAGCATATAGCTGTCATATAAAGAGTTCGATCGATGGATCAAAATCAAGACCTCTTCATACACTTTTATGCTATAAAAAATGCCCACATTGCTGGTTTTATGTTTTGTATGAATGCAATTAATCCTTTTGCAATTTTCGAAACCGCGAAGCAACCAAAAGTTTTTCCCTTATTTTTTTTTATTTTTTTTTTAATGCGTGTTTGTTGAGCAAACTTACACTTGGTTGTGATTTTGTTTTTTTGTACAAGCTTTCATTTCAGTAAGATTTAATTATTCCCTCTGCATTATATATTTAATTGTGCGTGCTCATCTTGTTGACATGGCGAAAAAATTATTGTAAATAGATTCATACTATTGTATATAAAATTTAATCTTAGATCACTTACTAATAAAGAAATAACGGAACCACAAGCGTTTCTTTAATAGTCACTTGTTATTCTTTTTAAATACAAATTTTAATTTCGGTTTTGCATACAATCTAACTACGAAATAAATCAATACATCAATAAATAAATAAATGCTAAGTTAAGTTAATTGTAAAGTGACACTAAATATAACTGTAAATGTATAAATTATAAATTTACTACGCAAAAAGCAATCGGTAACTAGTTGAATAGCTTTGAAATGTAGGTAATTTTAAAGTTAATGAGTGGCTAAGGCCAAACACCAATAACTTTTGGCAAATAAATATTAAATATATGCGATTGTTTTTTTTATAAGAAAAATGCTCTACTAGTACATTTACGTTGCGCCACAAATTCGAGTTTAACTTAATGTGAGTGAGTACTTATTATGGTAAACTGGTGTATGCCAGTAGTTTATTTAATGTCAAACATCAAAAATGTCCAATGAACCTAAAATTTGTGGCGCAAAGTGATGGTACTATAAATTTCAATTAATCGAAAAATTGGTCTGTGCTACAATTCAAGGGCGCGCTTACACACACATAGGTATATATATATACACTTGTTCCCTACTACAGTTTTGCTGGGCGGTTATTTATAGCGCATACAATTTCAACTTAAACATTTTGTTTTTGCCTGAGAAAATCAAATTATACAATTGCTCTGCTAACTCTTATACCCAATGGCTGTAAAACTCCCACAAGCTATAAGGTAAGTTCAAAATGTGCGACAGCTATGTCAAATCAGCTGACAAATACTTTATTCTATGTTGTGCTAATTTAAAGTGGAGGGAGCTGCTGCGATTAAAACATTTTTTTTTTTAATGTTTTTTATGCCCGTATCTCTTTTATACAGTGTGTGTATGTGTGTTCCTTTTGTTGATGATTTGTTGTTGCAATTTTCCGTTTTTTATTTTCTTTATTTTTTGTTATAAAGTTGTTTGCACTTGTGTGGATTTCTCAAAATGCATCCCTGTTTTTTTCCATTAAATTTCCATGTTTCCATATTTTGTTTTAAAGCTTACTTTAAAATGCACCGTCTATATAGGCGCTAATTGGAGAGTGTGGTTTGTAGTTGGATTACGAAATGCTCAATATTTTTTTTTTTTTTTTACAAATTTTGTACGATCGCTCTTTTTAGCTGAATTTATTGCTGTGTTTAATGATTCTTTAGTTTTAGCTATTTCGGCAGGCAATTTTATTATATCTTTATGTACATATACTATATTTGTTTGTGGGTCAGTTATATTTTTTGCAAATATAAAATTAAAATATATAATAATTTATACGTGAATAGCTGTAATTTCTTGAAACCTTCGTATGCGAGTGTTATAGTTGAAAAAAAATCGCTACAAAGAAGCTCGTTTGACCTGGTACTTATTACATATTTCCATTTTTGGGTACTGTACGACGCGAATATTATTTCGTTCATTCATATTTCTTATAACTATGCGAAATAATACATTTTTACATTTATATATATTACTTCTTGTTGTCGCGTTCGTTTATTTTCAATTTGCCTTTGATATATTTTAAGCATTATCGTTTCAATTTCAGTTATTTGCACGCATATTATATTATGAAAGCTAAACTTTACAACTACACCAATTACAATAAACATGATAAATAAATAAATTTTCTTCAACTCCATCTTTTTATTCACAGGGTGCACATCTGACATGTAAAGCTCGCTTTCTCAAACGCAACAAGCGGCTGGCTTGCCTGCGCGCAGATCAGCAGACACGTTTGCAGCAATTAAAATCGGCGAACGCCACAACGAACACCGGCGCTACAAATGCATTAAATAAAGCATCCGCTGCAGCAGTGGCGAATGTAGCAGCAGACGCTGGCAGCGCCAGTGCCACTACAGACAGCAATATGAATAGCAGCAGCAGCAGCAATAACCCGGCGACAACTGGCAGCGAAGCCCATTGGAGTTGGAATAAGCGACCGCCAGAACGCGTGGGTAGCATTGTGGTGGGCAGCGGTGCGGAGAAGTACTTCGTCAACGATCGCGACGAAATCAAATTCAACGCATTCGGCCGCCAAGTAATTGCAATCAACAAGAATCTACAGTTGTTCAAATGGGACTCGGTGCGGCGTGCGAAATTGGTGAGTGCTGCTTAAAAGTAAAATCTACACGAGCACATTTCAAATACCATGCTTTTGTGTGCAATTCATTTACGTATTTATTTTTCACTTCTATATTATAGTCACACACTAACGTAACGCAACGCAAACACAAACAATTTCAACGTTTTACACAAAAGTGGCTGGCGGAGCACGTTAGCGAATTGGCGCAACAGCAATGCACGGACTGGCTGCTCGGCAAGACGGTGCCTAACAACAGCAGCAGTGGTAGTAGTAGTGTCAACTGGGCGCTGAAAACCAAGGTGATACCGCAAAATGATGTGAAACGTACGCCATACCGTATTTACAATCGTTATAAAGTGACATACAGCGGGAACCCGAACAGTTGTGCAGATGTTGCTAGTGGCAACAGTAGTGGCGTCGCTAGCGGTAGTCGTGTGCCAGGTGGTAGTAGTAGTAGTGGTGGTGGTGGTAATGCGCCGGTAGCGGATACTCATGCCACAACAACAGCAACGAATACGGCGCATTGCAATAGCACGGCACAGTCGCAGACATCCTCGAATGCTGCATCACTAGCAAATGTCGGTCCAAGCAATGTTGGTGGTGTTGGTGTGCCGGCGACTGCAAGTGTAGTGACGGTGACGACACCGTCAACATTAACATCCACAACAGAAGCGTATAAATTGGCAACAGGTAGTAGTAATAATAGCACCAGCAATAACAACAATCGACAATTGGAAAGCTGAATTTGACCGAAAAATGCGGTGAGCGGTAAACGTCGACGTTTAAGCGAACGCGCACAGGTTTGATTTACAGCAAGTAATACTGACAACAACAACACAACAATAAAAGAAAAAAAACAATTATGTAATGATAGCAGCTAAATAGCTTTCATAATGCAAGGCTATTTGATTTGATGCCCAGTTATGTGTATAATATTTTTTTTTCCTTTGTTCTTAAGATCATTTGTTATAAGTTTTGAATATTTGCAATTTAACACAAATTTTAGGCATTAAGAAATACATATTTTCCATATTTAACTATAAAATTACGTTTTTTTTTTATTTGTGTTTACTAATTTATTTTGAAAAGAAGAAAGTAGTTGTTAGGTTCGTGAATAGCTGTAACTCATTTTCAAACTTACTCTACTCGGTACAACTGAGCATAATATATAAATATAAACATACATACATAACATCTGAATTGTTTTAAGTTGTGCTTCTTAATAACAACTTCCGTTTGCAGGACTAACACTGCATTAGATGTAGACAAAAAAAAAAAACAATAACAAAAAAAAAATGGAAGAGCAGCTCAGTAAACGTGTACACGTACTAGTTTGTTATGCAACTATAAATTTAATTTAATTTATAGCAGTCTAGATATATCACTAAATACTGTATAAAAACAAAAACAATATTTGCTTAAGCTTGAGAATATGTAAATATAGTATATAGTTGTACGACGAGTATGTATGGTAATAATCGTAGTCTACAAATCAGTGCATTAAGCTATTTATTTTAGTGCGTGTAACGGAGTTAATTTCATTTGCTTTAGATGCGGTTAATATCAGAGATATGCGTAGATTAATCTTTAAGTCTGTAAGTATGTTTTTTTTTGTTGCTTGTAAATAGCAAGAATTGTGTAGAGCAGAATAACACAGGTTAGAAAGGAAATAAAATATCGTAATAATAATGGAGTATATAATATAAAATGTGAAATTCTAACAAATAAGCATTTTTTCCTAGTTATATTAACTTTCAATTAAGAGTTATCGTGTGAATACAATTATTTTGTAATGATAAACGGATTTATTGAAAAATACATATAATAAATGATACATTTGAAAAAAAAATAAAAAATATTTTGTACGTTTCTTTATTTAAGTAGAAATCAAATTGCGCTAAGTGGAATGCAAAATTGAAATACGTTGAAGTAACTAAACAGTTTATGCGGCGATTGTAGCGCTGCCTTGAGCAATATTTGATGCCAAATTTCGTGAGGATATCTTTTCAAATAAAAACATTTTCTATCTACAACTCGAAAACTGAGTATATACGTATATATATAAAAACGTATATACACACAAATAGGTGGTCATGTCTAAATCGCGTCAGCCTGTCACGCCGATCATGTATGTATCTACTTTATAGGATCGCCGACGTTGCTTATGGGTTTTACAAATTTCGTGGCAAACTGTTTAGGTTATAATGAGTCTCATAAACATTTCAGTTATATATTTTACTTTAACGCACCAGTCGGTTAATTTTCGCCGACCGTTATTCCACACTCGTATAATCGGTATAAAGTACAGACTACTTAGTTAACCAGATTTTGAAATACCAATAAAGCCGTCTTAGAACACTACCATCTAATTGGTAGTCTCGCAAAACTTATACGGACTATTTTGACGTTATCGATTAACCTTGACATTCAAAATCACTTCTGTCGATAAATGTTAGTATGACAGCTAAGACTACTTTATTCCCTCCAGTTAACGATTTTGTCAAGAGTACTGCGCTGCAATAAAATCATCAAAAATGTCGATCGGTAACTTTAGGTAAAAAATAAAGAAAAGTTAGTTTGGCAAAACCCAGGCACTCAGAATCGCGCCGGGTAATAGAATGACACTGGTGGTGCTTTTATACAAATGAACGAGGTATGTAGCTTAATTGGAGGCTTCTTTAGTTGATTAAATTTAGTTACAAGTATTGTTGTTATAGTGTAGAAACCAATATTCAAATAATTTTGATAAGTGATGCTGAGTTGATCACCATTAACCGGAAACAAATTGGGAGCATTCCGGTTATGTTGAACCGATTATCGTGGGATGTTTGACAAAATTCATTATGCTTGCTTTTTTTTGGAAGTGTGTATACAAACAACCTCAACTGTAAGTGTGCTGATTTAACCTCCTACCATATATTATATCTCACTTATAAGAGTTTTTGCCTAAAATGAAAAAAAAACCAAAATAGTTAAGATAGAAATAAAAAAGCGAAGACTGGGTATATTTATTTTTTCACATAAATTTTGTGGTTATGTGAATCAGGTGAAAATACAAAATTTCTTTTTATTACCTATAACTTTTATCCATATGACTCGTATTGGGCCGGAAATCGATCCTTAAACCACTCCTTCTATCAGTACTATTTACGACTACAAATCACGCGTAAATTATACTTCCTTTCATTTTTTGTTGTTTTATCTTCCCTTTTCCAATGGGTTTGAACCTACTACGATTTTTTTTTCACTTTTTACCATTTTCACAGGCACTGGCCTATACTCGTATACTTCTTTTGCAATTAAAAACACAGAAAAAATTCTTTTTGTTTGGTGTTCTAGTGACTTTATTTACTTTTTTTGTTGGTCTTGATGAATTTTAAATAGATTCTCTTACTATTTGTTTTTTCTTTTTTCCTAATATTTTTTTGTTTACTTACTAATAACAATTTTTTTTTTATCATTTACAAATACAAGAGCACATTTTAAATTTAATAATTTTGTTTTTGCTTATTTTAAAAATTAGTTTAAAAGGTTTTTTTATGATGGTCAGCGCTCAATCTATAAATTATCAAATTGAAAACTTTACTAAAAATCAAAATTACAAAGACTTTATGTCTAACCACACTTGTGTTTCATTGGGTTGAAAATCACAAATTGGCAAGCTAACAAATTTTACATGCATTCATGTTGTTCACAATTTTATAATTTTTCTTACAAATTTGTTTAAGCTAAAGCATACATAATAAATATTTTGCCGATATTTCACTTGCTGTTTTAACAATTTAAGCTTTTTATTGCTTTGCAGTTCTACATTTTTGCTTTTGGTTTTTTGTTTATGGTAAAAGAGTAAATGTGCAACAATTACATGAGAATATAAATTAATATTAGTATGGTCGACAAATAAAACGAAATGTCATATGTATAATTATTTTTTAAATATTTTAAATATAGTTTGCATAGGTTAACTTGCTTTTTTTTATTTTTATTTCATTCACAGTCCGTGCATGGTTTCAAAGTCACAATAAATCATCAAAAATAGTAGGACAACTGCAAGCAACTAGCTGCGTATTCTCCATAACTATTATATAATGATCAAGTATTAATCACTTTGCATAGCCTTCAATATACTCGTGTGTATTACATAATTATAAATGAGTGTATAGCGTATATATGTATATACTTTAAGTAAAGCGCTTTTAAGTAAAAAAAAAAAAGTTTCGCATTACACATAATTACTTTAACAATTAAGTTCTGCGTAAAACAGTTATATAATATATCATTAAAGCGTTGTTATTAAAAATTTCCAAAAAAGTAGGGAAAAACATTATGAGAATATCTTTAAAACACATCTACTACATAATCTATATGAGTGAGCTGGGTGATGATATTAAAATTTTGTTTGTATAAATTTAAGTAAGTATATATGTATCTGTTTTGCTTAAAAAATCATTTGAAGGCGTTCATAATGACTCTTGAAGTATATTGTCTATTTAATTAATTAACCCTTGGCATGACCATTAAGTACCAATTGCATATTCGATACTCCGTTCGATTGCTTTATTTTACTGCCATTAGCTGTTGTGGCTTCTTCTATAATTAAATAAATAAACAGAAAAATAGAGACATGTAAATTATGTGCAATTGTGCGTGTTCTTGCTGGCATACAAAAGTATGTGCATATAGGTATGTATTGAGTATAGAGTTTTGATCAAAATTATGAAGCATAAAATTACATGCAAAAACTGCGAAATTAAAGAAAAAATTGCATTAATGTAGTAAGCAAATTTATAAGAAGCGGTTTGGTTGAAATTCGTTTGAAATATAAATTGTTAAGAATATACGACAGAGAGAGCGAGAAGTTAAGGGGCAAATACTAACTAACGGTATTGATAAAAATTAGGTATAAAACAAACAAAAATATTACAAATTATAATTATTAATCAAAATTTTGTTCCAAATTTGCAAATTTTCTTTTTCTAACTTTCAAGTAGATGCTAACTTTAAAAACACACAAAAATGTTACTAGACAAAAAAATTCTTCATAGTTTTCGAACTTTACAAATATAAACTAATATACGTCGAATTATGAAATTTGCGTAATTAAGAAATTTTATAAAGTTAGCATTTTAATATAAAAAAAATTATAAAGTATGTAGTTAGTTAATTATAAAGTTGTAGCTAACCAGGGTTGCCTTTTTTTATTTAAAAAAAAAATTGTATAAAAAATTTGATTTTCAATTTTAATTCCAAGTTTTCGCATGTATCTTGAATTAAAAATTGTAATTAAATTTTCAACTTTAAATCCCAGAAATAGAATAAAAATTGCAAAAATTTCCAAAAACATTGGGAATTCCGATTAGATTGAAATTTAAAAGTAAAAATTTAAATTTACTTTTTAATACCAAAATCAGAAATAAAAATTTATATAATATAAATCGTTTGAAACTGTAAGTTTGCTCTATTTTGCCGGATTTTCGAGATTACAAAATAAAAAAATTAATTAAAATGTTTGTCCAATTATTTTCAATGCATTATTTGCAACCCCTTGAATAGCAAAACATTGGAAATTTATTTTAAAAAAAAAATTATTTCGGATTTTACAGAAAATCCATCAACTTTGGCTTTGGTACTTATATTAGATAGTTTTGACTAAAAACCTCGTTATATGTTTGAATAACAATTTCGAAAATATATTGCTGCAACATAAATATGTAAGTAAGTACATTCTGTCACCATTTTAATAGCAAAGTATTTTGCTAAACTTTTTAAATATACTACTGAATTTTATTTTTAAATTTGCTAATAATTGTATTGAACAATAAGTAATAAATACACACTAAATATGGCAACTAATACAAATAAATAGTGTTATTCTATATTGTGTTATTGTTATTGACTAGCAGTATATAAATAAAATTTTTAAAACTCTGGTATAGATCTTTTTAGTTTTAGGTTAGGGTTTACGAAACCTCATTACTAATTGTTGTTGTTAGTAGAATTTTTTTTTACTCCAATATTTATACAACATTCTAAATGAAATTTATATAAGCATATTTCTATGCACACATACGCACATATGCCTTTATATACCTAAAAATATAATTGGCAAGCAATTAGCGAGAGGTATACTACAGCGGTGTGAAATATGAAACGTATTATGATTACTGCTAATTTATTTATACTATACTAATATTTAAGTAGTTTAGGCGGGTAAACAAGCAAGTAAGCAGGCATCGTCATCTTCTAGTGTATTAATCACTATGGACGACAATGTCTTCAGTTTTGGTTTCATTAGATTTGCTGCCATCCTTACCGGGCATTGGGTGCCAAAATTTCTTTGTCGTGCTCCAGTCTTCGCGCAATGACAAATTGAACATCGAATATGCTGGATCACCAGTGACCTCTTTGACGATATTCAAAAATTTGGGCATATAATTTTTCAGCGCATCGCCCGAGTGTGATGAGTAGGTCTCCAAAAGGATCAGACCCTTGCAACTGATAATAAAAATTAAAAAATATGTTTAATAATACACTTAAATGGATGAAATCAATTTTATATTGCATACCGTGGATGGCTGGGTTCTCTGTAGATGTCCAATTGGAAATATTGGTTGTTGATGAGGAAACAACGACGTCGCTTGTAGATGGTGAAATGTGCATCGTCGCGTTGCGCCAACAGGTTCATGTAGTCGCGATGCGTTAGCTGTGTTTTCACCTCGATGCGCGACTGTCCGTGCACATTGGGACGGCGTATTGTGTGTATGTAGCTCCAGTGATTCTTTTGGCCACGTTTGCGCAAACGCGCTTGTACTTTTGGTCCTGAGGATTGCAAGTAGTGATGTACAACATCGAAGTCTTGAAACGGTGGAAATTCGGAGTCGGGTGGTAGTGTGGCGACTGTGAGTTGAAGGCAAACAAAATAGTTGTATATAAAATTTAATAAAATGAAATATAAAGTATATAATTAAAACTGCATAACATACCGAGAAATTTGAGTTTTCTTGAGGTGGCAAGCAGACGATCACCAATATCGATGCCGACTTTTTGACACACTGCCTCGATTAGGCGATTCATTTTGGTTTCAAAATTTGTTGAATTATCAATGACATCGAAATATGGATGACCGACCCAGGCGGCTGCAGATTTGTAATCTAAATCACGTGCCATATCAACACCTTCAGAGCGGCAGGCATGATCCTAAAATATAAAACATATTTTTATTTTACCTAAATTAATTTATATTTATTAATTTGTGCGAATTTCTAACTGTAATATTGCAGTTACATATTTTCAATACGTCTCCTAGCATTTTTTATGTTACAATAGCTTTTCAACCGTTTTAAAGCTTGAAAATGTTGAAAAACTTTACCTGAGAAGGCTTCTTTAAAATCTTTTAAATAAAAATTGTGTAATAAAAAATATTTTTAGTAAGTGGCGAAGTTATTTTTTTTTAGAATTTTGTATAAATTAGAATTAGCTATGAGTTCTTAGGCAAAGTTTTACATATATATAAAGTATGTATATTATATATTTATGTGTGTAATAACTAGCAAACATTAGCCAATTTAAAAAACGAGTTTGATGAATAGTTGTAAATCATAAAAAGAGTATTTCTTTGACAGGAAAGATTTGAAAAAAGAAAGAAGATTTATTTTAAAATTACTAGAATAAATTTACTGCAGATTTTCTTTATGTCTTCTTTACAGCCTATACAAACATGGCAATAAGTTTAATCAAAATTTTCATACACTTGTTAAAAGCTTCGGCTAGAATGATCAGTGGTACGAATTCCGAGTGAACTACACCGCGGTAATCAAAGAAAACGATAGGCATCACCTTGATTTTTTACCGATTTTAACGTGGAATGTAGAATCCTCAGCTCGAAACAAAAAATATCAAATAAACTTATTGTTAAATTTTTTTCCAAATTGCCGAACAAATTGTTCGCGTCGTAAACAACACAGCTGCCAAACACACTAAATATCATATGGAGAACACTTCAAACGAACATAAAAATGGCTGCACTAAAATGGACCTGTCTGAGACAAATTTGATCAATTTAGGAAAAAAATCTTTATCAATTCGGTTTGAGCGCGCAGTGTAATGAACCAAAATTTATTTAGATGTAATATACAATAATTTTAATTTTCTTGCCTCATCATGATTTCACAATATGTTATATAGAGGGTTTTCTTAAATAATTTATGTCAAAACCACATGACATTGTATTATATAACTACACGATATTATGAAAACTACATGACACGGCAAATTTTACTTAATTACACACTCTATTACCTATTAATATCTATTCCATGTAAAAAAAGGATATTTACATTACCTCAGTTGTGTAGAAGTCTTCAGCGCCATTTGCTGCGGAAACCAAATGCAAAATCTGATGATAACGATTATCACGCAATTCTATAGGATTCCAGTTATTCGCTGACATCATTTTCTCCCATTTTTCTTTCGAGATATCTGCGTTAAACGAATGCAAACGTATGTAATATATGCATATATATATATATATACGTGAGTATACGTAATGTCGAGCACTTGTTAAATAAACTAAATTTGTTAACAGCTGATAATACTTACAAGCACTGGCATCCATGACGCCACGATCACAGATAATCAAACAATCACGCAGACTCGATTGTCCCAACTCAAAGTAGGTGTTCTCGATTTGTATCATTGTACGTATAAGATTCTCTTGAAACTTGAAAGCTGCAATGTAACAGTGAAATTAAATAATTGATTATGTATTTAAGTTTTTAATGTGTAAAATCTTTACAGCTTAATAAAATAGTTAACCAATATTTTTTTTGAAAATATAAATTTGCATTTTAGAAGAAAAAACTTGCAAGCAAAAACGTACAAAAAACATAAAAATTGTGCTAAACAATGAATAATGATTGATTGCTCGATTGCGCAAACAGCTGTGTGATGATTGCTGCATATTCGGCGACCATGATGTGGTTGTTACGCATTTTAATTACATTCTGATGGAGTATTTAAGTTATAATGCTGAAATGTATTTATGTAATAGTGCTGCAATTATATTTGTGATTATACAGAATATTTATCCTACACCGGTCTTATACCCAAATTATATTTTCTTATATTAACATACATCCAGATAGTACTTAACATGCGATTTTTATTATTATAATATATATAAATACGTATATGCTTATTTCTAACGGTATTATTGTTTATATTTTGAAAGCTAAAAATCTGATATTGAGCAGAAACTGCATATTTTGATTTTTTAGTACATGATTTAATAATAAATCCTAAACAATATATATATTTACATAAAAATCAGTCCACGAATATCTGTTAGATATTAATTACTACATACATTTTATTTTATAAAGATGTTCACTATGTACATAGTATATTTTATTATTATCCAACAAAGACATTTTTATTAAATTTGCCAAAAAGTCACCCAGAACGTCAGAGACCCTACAAATTATTTATATCATCAGCGTTACGAGCTAAGTCGATTTAGCCATGTCCGTCTGTTTGTCTGTGTATACGCAAACTCAGTCACTCAAACTGAACGATCAAAATCAAGTCCTTGCATGGAAAACTTTTTTATTCTACAAGAAATCTTCACAACATTCGACATGGAATATTGTCTAAGAGAACACTACAATCTCCGAACATATTGTTTAGATCGGACCACTGAAACATATCGGTGCAACCGAAGCTAACGTTTTTTCTTATTTTTATTTCCAACCGTTAAACTATCAGAACGAAACTCTAGTTCAAAGACGAAAAAACATTTTTGCGAATCAATCGAATCTTTTGATTGAATGGAACCGACTAAATTTTCTCATTGCTTAAAAATATTTAAAACTACATTCAAATATATTTATATAATATGGCGAATATTTTAATAATAATAAATTATATTTACTATTAATAATAAGGGCCCAATGAATTAATATAATAAATGATATATTATGAATCTCTCATTTATGCACCTCTGAACCCGTAGGACCTTTATACATACATACATAAATGTAGTCAAGAAGGTAGCGCGTGTCATTCATGGGAGTTTTATTATTTATAATAACAATAAACATTGAAATTAATATATTACTTTGAATATCAACAAAGCTACAAATAGATATGTTGTGTAATTCTATTTCACATTATTTATTTTTATGATCAAATTATGCCATTTATTTGGAATTACGTATCCACAACAAATACTTTCTGTCGTAGGGGGGCTGCAGTAAGTTCGTAAGTAATTCGACGATAATGCAATTGGAATTTAATATGAAATGACAAGCTCAAGTGAACAGCAATTAAATGTTAATTGTCGAATTTGATTATTTTTTATTTCGCGCATGTGAGACTAATGTCACGAATAATTCATAAAAATATTGCGAATACCAGACAAAAACGAAATATACAATTTTTTACCATCAGATTAAATTTGATACGGAACGCCAAAATTTAATAGATAAAATTAATTCTAGATTTGTACAATCTTTTTCCATGTTTGTGTGTGGTTTGACTTCCCTATGTCAATTAGTGTGTGTTTAGCAGCTGTTTGTTTACGACGCGAAATATTTGTCTGTCGATTTTACCATTGAAAAAATAGATCAACGAGTTTGCTTGAAATTTCGTGTTTCCAATGGAATTACGGCCCGGTTGTGTTTTGGTGAGCCTACTTGTTCACGAACACAAGTAGTGAAAAAAGTCATGAAGTCATAGAAAACTTGTTAAAGAAAGAGCGCTTGAAAATCGTCGTGTTGGCTTCAGAGATATAGCAAGGGATCTCAACATCTCTTATGGATCGACTCAATACATTTTTAATAATGTTTTGGGAATGAAGCGCGCCAATGCTAGACTTGTACCAAATAGTGTTAGCATGGTTGTGTTGGCTCAGGAGACCGTTTTGAAGGCAATAATTAAAATTTGCATTAAAATATGTAGATGATATCAATAGCTGGCGTGGGCAGGACTCAAAATCGAAAATTATTGATCAAAATTTGCTTAATATCGCCGTCGCTCGGCAAGCAAAGTTTAAATAGCACCTAAAGATGGGAGAAGAGAGGTAAACACGAAACGAACCTACATACATACATTAGTACTTATATACAATACATTGTTGTATGTATCATAGACATACTTAGATTCGGTTCGATTATTAACAATCTGTAAAAATAAAAAAAATATAGGTTAAGCTAATAACATTATGCGACAAATTCTTTTGCGATCGTAAGTATCTATCAGTTGACCTCTAAAGGTCTTATGATTACAGCCGATTGATAATTTGTTTGGCTTTTGGTGGCGCTAGCGAAAATTGGTAATGCGGAAGTCAACACGGTTGTAGTAGCAATAGTAGAGATAAGTTGAAAACATATGTACATATGTATGTATATATAATATAACATATTTATTGGGTATTTAATTTCATGATTTCAGGTCAATTTATAAGATCTGTGCTTGATTGGAATGCATTACTCATTTGTCGACCAGTGATATTCATTACTACAAACAGTAAATAAGTTTTGATTGTTGCTGTGGTTTTTATAAGAACCAAACCCGTAAAATAGCACAAACAGTCACCGACATTATTCCCTTCCGTACTTACCGCCCGTATCAAACCAAATTAGTCAAAAGTTATGCCCGTAGTTGCAACGCAGAAATCAGTTGTTCTCTTTTGTTTTCATTTCACCAATGTTGCCATTGTTGTATTTGTATACACGATTTTTTACACATTTAGTTTTTTAGTTATAATTTTTCATAATGTAAAAGCTCAAAGCTGAAATCTAACTAAAAAATATTTTACCTATTTATAAATAAGTGTATTCGACTGCGATTTTGAGTTATTTTAAGAATATTTCAAATATGTTCAAGTTCATTTTTTTATTACTACAAAATATTGAGATTGGCAACCCTGCGTTGCAAGAGATTGCTCTCTCATTCTCAGCTCACTCGTTTCTACGGAAAAAATCCAATTTTCGCGGATATCCTACCCTACTGTTCAGTTACATTGCGATCTCATAAAATAGGTCGTCGTATCAGCGGTTTTGCGTCGGTGACTGTTTGTGCCAAAAGCCATTCGGCAAACGATAGCGCGACACTTCTCGGGTTCTTCACTTTGTTTACGCGACAAGTGATCAATGCAATAGCAAATAAATAAACATAGAAATATTTTTGTTTTCAACGCTGAAAGCAGACAATAAAGACATGTGTGTGTACACAAATAGGAATGTGTTACAAAAGCACAGTTATGTGGTTTTTTGAATGTCATGACAATTCGATTTTATATTAGCAACAAGATAGGCTTTCATTATCGTTTTTTGTAGTATTGACATTTCACAAATGCCGCCATTTGTTGTAGAACATTCTCAAAACTAATTTGCCGCAAAAACAGTCAGCTGTTGTGAAGCTTTAGCCGCCTTCCCTTACACTGCGCACACTACCCACATATATGTACATATGTGTTACATATGGACTTAGATATGTGAACCCGACCAACAAGCCACCCACAGCTAAATGCATGTGCGATTTGTTTTCCACTGCAATAATTTAATTAGTGCAAAATAACAAAATTTGCAAAAATTAAAAAAAAGCAAGAAAAAAGCTTGAGGTTTGGTCATCGCTGATGTAAACAATTGCGCAACTACAAATTCGTTTATATTTGCGGCGCATTTGTGTTTCTATTCAATTACCGTTCGGCGATTATTCCAGACATATTGAAATAAACAATTCAATATTATAAGAATTGGAATCCAATTTTTAGTATTTCCATTTTGTTTAGCTTTCTTTCTTATTTATGTATGTACATATGTATAAATCAAATACATTTAAAGCCGTTTCGCGTTTTATGTATGTATGTATATATTGGTTTTAATAACTAAAATAAAAAATTGAAATCAAATCGAGGTTACATGGGTTCTCTTCACAAGTTGCGACCATCCGAAACTACATACATACATACATATGTACAATACATTGAAATATATTTTGGGAAATCAATGTTCGCATATAAAAATTTTGTGGTTTCAAGAAAAAACAGCTCTACTTGATTTCGAGAAATTTCGAAACTTTCTATACCCTGTATCAAGATTGCCACGAAGTTTGTGAAACATAGAAGAAAACGTCGAAGACCGTCTAAAGTACATACATACATATGTATGTATGTATGTGTATAAGTGATCAGCGTGACGAGCTGAGTCGATTAAGTCATAGTTCCTTGGTATTTGAGATATCGATCTGAAATTTTGTACATGCTCTTTCTTCCCCAAGAAGTTGCTCATTTGACGGAACTGGGTCCATCGAACCAAAGTCACTGTTTGGAAAACTTTTTTATTTCAAAACATATCTTCAAGAAATTTGGCATGGATTATTGCCCAAAGTAACGAAAAAATTTTCGAACAAATTGTTCAAATTGCACCACTATAGCGTGCCATACAAAGAGAACGAACAAAGTGAAGTCTCTGTATATGCTTTGTTTATTTCAGTCAAGTCAGAATAAACGGAAAGTTTGGTATTCAGAGAGTGTACTGTCAAAAAGTCAAATTTTATCAATTGATTATGGCAAACTAATGAAAAAGGCGCGAGATCTTTTTTGAAACTATTGAAATTCGCATCAAATTATGCGTTAGTTAATCTTAACTACAATCTATTTTATCAATTTAGGTATCAATATAAAAAATTGTTATCTGAAATTATTTTTTTGTGAATGAACGACGCAT